TGTTAGTTTAACATACCTCAGAATACTAGGGGCTCCCCATGCAGTATTTCACGAAAGCCTTAAAACAACCATGTAAGGTAGGTGGTAGCTCATTGTAAAGATGAAGAAACTGAAGTTCTCAGAGGATGAGTATCTTACCTAAGGTCAGTGTCGTAGGTAGGGGTCTGAATCCAGAGCCCTCTCCCTCCGGAACCCGGTTTGTTTCCATCACAGCACCCTACTTCCTCAGTATGCCAAAACTGTTGAGTGTGTACAAAACTGAGTTGAATTCATGCTAATCCAGTATATATCCTATAAGCTGCCTTTTGGAATAATCATTGGTCCCTGCTTGCTATCTTGTCAATATTCTCATTTTTAAGGTAGGACGGAAATAACTCCACTAAGGGTTCACTTAATCATGGTTTACTCACACCGTGATTTTGTAAATGGTGAGTGACGTTCAAACAGCTAAATAAAATCCACTAAAATGGTCAACCTTCCTCAGCCTGTTTCTTGTTTTAAATCCTTTGTTGTTCTTTGCACAGGACTATAAAATTTTGTCCATTATGATTATCCCAGTTCTTTTCTGAATTATTAAGTCCCTTGTCTACCACTCAGCTAAACATCGTCTCAACTGCTCTATAATGCTATTTAGTGTGCATGTCTTGCCACTTCAAAGTGGTAATCTCTGAGCTCTTGCAATCTCTGAAGTATCTTATCCAGGACTAAACATAGTTAGCATTCAACAACGGCTTGACGCTTCGGATTTGAATGATCCAAAGCAGATACCAAACGTGGTTTTTCCATTCTTCAACAGCAGTCCAGTAAAAGACATGAAATAAGAACCTTAAGACAGCCTAAAAGACCAAAGACAGAAGTTAAAGAAGGACTAGCCATGAAGAACTCTGAGTATTAAAAATAAGACGGGGACAAGCCAAGGTGAAGCCTCAAGAAACAAGGCATCTGGCAAGAGCAAATGAGAAAAAAGAGGGGGAGACGGGGGGGAGCCAGAGAATATTCAGAGTTTGAAATGGAAGGGGAATTCTAGAGTTTGAAATGGAAGGGGAATTCTAGAGTTAAGGTGGGTTTGGATCAGAAGCCTTACCAAGTTTCTCTAGCTAAAGAGCCTGGGTGGCAATCTGTGGGTGGCCCACACTTAAGAACACAAAAAAACTGGACACCGATACAAGTGGTGAGAAGTGTCATGCAGCAGGGAGTGGCAAGAGTCAATCCTACATGCAGTCATTTGGGTACAGTGTGCCCTTCAGAGAGGGCATGGTGACAGAGCCAATTTACAGAGCCACCAGGGCAATAACTCAGAAAGCAATACTGCCTTCTCCCAACAAAACGAGGCAGCACCAGAATGTTTCACAGTGGTAAAAAGCTGCATTACAGCATACTAAGATCTCGGAACCAATGAAAGGAGACAAGTTTACCAAAACGAGTCTTGACACAGAGTACGTTTCTGGCAAATACGTTATTATGCACTCATTCTACTCAGGTCCTAGAGAAACTATTTCGTTTCCTTATATGGCCCTTCTCTTCAGCTCTCTCCTGTGTAATAACTAATGTCTTCTTAGAGAAACAAAGATAGAAAAGGAATAGAACTGTTCCACTCGTCCCCCCCACCCTGAGTTTTTTTTTCAGGGAGGTGAGTAGAGGCTCATATCTCTTCTTTGAGAGTGTGGGAGAAGAACTACCAGCTTTTGAAATCACTTTAAAAACTGAAATCATTTCTGCTGGAGAAAGCTAATGTTGATGGGAGAAGACAAGGGAAATACTGCAATTGTCTACGCTGCCTGCCAGAATTAAGCAGCCTTATTTTAACGGTGACATCTTTCTTTAATCCCATTACAACTTTTAATACTACTAGAACTAAGATACAATGTGCATGCATGCGTTGAAACATTCACTATATGGCACATAAAATCAAGGAAAATGCCAGCTGTCACTCTTAAACGAGAATCAACTTCTAATGTTACTCCTCTTCTTAAAATCCTTCAATTGGCCCTCACAGTCTTCAAATAAATCCAAACTCCTTAGCAGGACCCCAACTTCATTTCTCAATATATTTTCCTCCCTATTCCCAGATTCTACAGTCCATTTCCTCCCAAAAGCCATGCTTCTCTGCCTGGAAAATCCTTCCCATTCCTCTTCGCTTGGTAAAACCCTACTCATCCTTCAAAAAACTGTTTGGCTTCCTCTCCTTGAGGAAGACTTCCTTGACACCCACCCTCCTGTTGTAACCGCGGGCCTTCCACGACCAGTTCAACTGACCCCATCTTACCAACAGAGTAATTAAGAGTGGTTTTTCAGGAACTGAGACCCCTTATCCAGTTCAGGCCAGATGAGACCACCAACCCATCAAGTGGGCCTGTGCAAATGCTCAACAAGTGACCTTTTTGATGTCAAGGAGCTAAAAACCTCACCATCAGATCATGGTAAGGCTGCCATTTTGTGAACATGCATCCTATGAAGAGGCATGAAGCTTGACTACGCTTGCACAGATCAATTACCTCACTTTTCCTTACCTCTGACATCAATCTCCACACTTCAGACTACCCTGCCCTTCATCCCATAAATTGTGCCCCAAGCCCTGGATTGGGGAGACAGATCTGAGAACATACTCCCCTGTCTCCTTGCAGATCGATCTCACAAAATAAAGCTACCTTTCTTCTCCCAAAAGCTGATGCTGTAAAAATTGGCTTTTTTTATGTGCATCAGGTAGGAGAACCCCATTTGTGCGGTAACACTATGAACTCTCAGAGGATCCTGTGCTTATTTGTCGTTGTACTCACCATGTGACATCATAATTTCATTTTACTGGCTTGTCTCTTCCACTAGATCCTGAGGACAAGTGCCAAATTCTAGGATTCTATTATATTTCGAGTGCCCAGGTCAGAGGCCTGACATATAGTACATACACAATGTTCTAGTGAATAGTAAATATAGCCATCTATGAATCTCACTTTCTTTCAACAGGAAAATAATCTCTTTAAAAGCTTTCATAAAATAGGACAACTATTTTCCCCCTTTGACCATATTTACAGCCAGAATAATGACTGTGAAAGAGTGTAACATTTGGGTCATACCCTTGATAACATTTCAGGAAGTTGGTAGCTGACTGCATCATTAAGACATCAGGAAGGAAGCCATCATTTGGGGAGCACCTATGTGCTGCCACCATGTACTGAATTTATGCGATATATATATTACTTCAGTCTTGACAACCCATGGTAACTTGTTTTAGCTCTATTTTGAAAAAGAGCTTGAGGCTTAGAAATTTGCCCAAGGTCACACAGCTAGCAAGTGATGAAGCCAAACTAAAGTAATGTACAAGATCAGGACTAGATTTTCTTCTAAATGAACTAAAAAATGAGGTTGGCTGAAACTAAGATTTCCCACAGGGCTGAAAAAATGATGAAGGCAGCAAATAACTTGTCCATCTCAGACTATGGGTATGCAGTTTTAACACTATAAACTGAAAACCAGCCTTGTTCCTGGTTCAGAGTTTAAATAATTGCACACACTGCTGCCGTCCTGTCAAATAACAGACTCCTCAGACATTTAGTTTGAAGCACTGTTTTAAAACAACTTCTCAAATTTATTTAACTCCTGTGGATAACACGGTTGAGTTTTGTATAAAAAGACAAAAAAACCACCACTTACTACTTCCTAAGCTGTGCAGACAGCTCAGAGTTCAGGCAGCATATTGCGCACAGTAATCACAGGATCTGCATTATCCTTTCAAAGATGGAACTCCACCAGCACCGGAGTTTTCCAATTCAAAATTCAGTTTTATTAGAGATCCAAGCATAATAATTAAAAAAAAAAAAGACTGGACTGTTGTTTTTTTCTTTAATTTTGCATTCCTATTTAGAAAAACAACTAGAGGCAATGACAAAAATAACCATTTAAAAGGGATTCCTCTCCAAAAGTTTTTCGTAAAGGTTTAAGTCCTAGCTTTCCATCCTTCTCTCCATCCTTTTACATTTTAAAAAGAAAGGGGTTTGGAATATGTCAAACTTTACTCAGCTTGCTACACAAAGACTCTGCCTTCTCAAATCCTAAATGTCATGCCAGGACTCATCTCCCAAACTCTGGTCTTAATCAAGTCCGTGGGGTGCCTGGCTGGAGAGCCCTGGGTGACGGTTGCTAAAGAAGCTCCTATTAATCCAAGGTCAGTCACAATCCTAACCTTAAACAGTAGACGGCTGACTACATCACTTACGACATACACCAAGCTAAGGCGGAAGGAGCAAGTCAGACACCCCTCATCTGTTAGTCATGAGTCACAGCAGCCCAGCCTGTGTTCCCCTCCCCAGAGCTCACTGCAAGATCACCACCACACCACCTCGATCCACTGAGCTCACTGTCCAGCCATCATGGAAGTCACTTAAAAGTTATCTCCGGAAGAGATGATTTTCCATAAGTAACAAATGAAAATGTTTTATTTGCTGTTTAGCTCTACCAATAACTCAGTCTCTCCATCCCTTCTTGGAGAGTCTGTACTTCTAGGCAAATGAGAGAGTTAAAAATACAGAGGAGCAACATCTGTATATAAATGTGTGCTTTATCTCTTCCTCATTACCCTCCTGGAAAATTGCTGTTTTGAACGTTCAGGTTCCTTGAGAGCACAAATTTTACTTAACTGTTGTATACAGTATACAGGAAGAGATTTCTCTTTTTAGCCTTCATTTCACTGTATGAGTTTCACTCTCTAGGTATTGAGAGTGAGAAACGGAGAGAGGAGAGGAGACAAAAATCACAAAGAGCAGTATAAAGCATGCCGTGTCAGCAACATGACAAGTCCTCTAATATCATCAGTGCTGACTCTAAGTAATTTCTGGTGGAGTTGAATACATCATTACATTTCTATTTCTGCTCTGCCTGAGGCTTTTCCCTAACCACTAATTGTGAGTGAAGGTCTAGAGAGAGAGCTTTTGTGAAAGGGGTAGAACACTGTAGCCTAATGTCAGTGTACTTTATAATGGAGGAAAAGAGGATTACAGGGAGATTTTTGTTTCAGCCTTTAGTCCAACCAAGATTTAAAAGACTTATAGAAAACGGCTTCACACAGAAGTGTGGTAGTGGGGAAGGGATGATAGGGAGAGTGGTAAACACATCTAGTAGAATTCCAGGATGAAAAAATACCCACACAAGTCTACAGAAGACAAAGGAACAAGGAGGAATACTTCCTGAGCCATAAACAGATCAGGGCATAGGGCAGGTAGAGTGCAGTGGATTAGTCACTAAATGGCTTCAGTGATAATTCTGAAACCTGTTCCAATTTATTTTCGGAGTGAATTCTTCTCCTGGGCAGGTCAAAGATTGTGCTTAAAAAATGTCATTAGAAGGTAACATCTTTTTAAATATTCTTTTGCCTCTTGCTTCCAGGTGATTTCCTTTTGGTTAAAAACCAGAAGCAGTGTAAACCGTAAAGGATGGAAGAACAGTCTCTTGATGCAGGCGAGGTGAGGCGCTGGATGAACTTACACAGTAAGTGAGAGTCTATATGTCTCGGTCTTCTCCTTTGACCACTCCATATCTCTGACCCAACAGAGATGGCAGGTCACTTCTTCTGGAAGAAGCCAGTAATGGATGGTTGTCTGTTGGCCTTGCCCAGAGCAGCAGTCCCTTTCTTTGGGCCCTTTCGTTCCTCTTTGGGTTCTTTTTTCACAGTCATGGCAGGGTGTCTGTGTACAGAGGATGTCTTCATCTGAAGCTCCTCTTCACTATCTGTGCAGGATTCACTTTCGTAGACTTTTTCAGTCACTGGTAGAATAAGGAAAAATGGGATATGAGTGGGTTGAGTCATTCAGAACACTACTCTATCAAGAGAATGAGATGCCATGTTCACCCCTCAGACCCTCTGATCAAAGCAAGTGTGCTCACCTACTACCTAAGCTTTCTCCCACGGGGAGATCTGATCCAGCCTTAGGTAGGAAGTATGTATCTTGAGCTCACACAGCCTCTAGCTAGGGCTCAGAATCAACATTTACCTTTACTCCCTCACTGCTGTGTCCCATGCCTTTACATGGGCCCTGATCATTTGATTGCCCAAATCCTGTATCTAGGCCCTGGTCTATGCTAGCTTACTCTCTCAGCTCTACATCGGTATCTCAAACACCTACTTCTACCTCCATGCTTTGACTGACTTCTTCCATCTCACCTCCCTGATCCACAGTGCCTGCCTATTTGCATCCCTGGTTTTTCTGGTCTTAATCTCTGCTTTACCTGCCAGTCCCCATCCTATCTAGCCAGGCTCATAGCCATGGACCCTCCTGGCTAGCTCTATCCTGATGTCACCTACTCTCTGCATGTCCTAAGTACAGAGAATTGGGGATCAGTTACTCAACTGTTCTGTTCTTACTTCTGAGTGACCCAAGATTTAGTAGTTGTCTACAACATGAAGATAACTGTCCCAAGCAAACTCAATCAGATGACAAACCTGATAGTTTTAAGGAAGGATGATGCTAAAATGAGAAACAGAGTTACCATTTCTCTTACTCCCTATTAGCCATAGGCATATTTTGCCTTCTCTCCTAAAATAAAATTCATCAAACCTTCTCAAATGGAAACTTTGAAACAAAGTTATACCAGTGAGCAGTCATTATAAGGAAGCTCCAAAAGGCACAGGCACAGACAACAGCTTCCAACAATGATGTCACAGAACCGATAAGAACTCTTCAATATTACTGGAGTGCACACACCAGCCACAAGAAACAGTACAATGCCACCTTCCTGTGACTTTAGAGAGCTGCAGCAGCTGTGTAACCAATGTCAGCTAATTTCCTTCTCAGCCTTCCTGGTTGTAGCAAATGATGGAGAAACAGGAAAGGAAAACATCTTTTCTTAGCTGAACAGAGTAAGCTAATATGCATAATAAATGCTCAAATGATTAAACTGGAAGGTATTTTTCCCATTAAAGAACAACGATAGTTTTAAGCTCTTAATTATTGATCATTTCTAATAAAATATATTAGTCAAAGTGTTCTGGAAGCATAGGCTTTGGAATCAAATATATCTGTGTTCTAATACCTAGTCTGCTGCCTATATAATCTCAAACTTTAACATCACCTGCATCAGAATCACCTGGAGGGCTTGTTAAAACACAGACTGCTGGACTCTATTTCCAGAGTTTTAGATTCAGTAGGTCTGGGGTGGACCCAAGAATTTGCTTTTCTAACATGTTCCCAGGTGATCCTGATGCTGCCGGTCTGGAGACCACACCTTGAGAGTCAATGTTCTTTCCTCTCCTCTAAAATGGGGATAACACTGCCTCCCAGAATCTATGGATGCACCTAGTAATCATTAGCAAGTACTCTTCAGTACTATTTTTTCCCCTTACAATGGGCCACGCTGGAGGTCAACTGGCTATTACCAGTGGAGCATTCCTTCACCTTACCCATCTAATCCCATTAAAGTCACATAATTAACAGTCCCCTCCAAGAGTTCCTAAGATTTGTTATTACTTTCAAGAGCCTAGAAGTCACTTTGCTGACTCCTGCCAACTTAGAGGCTAAAAAAAACACTGATAAGCTTCAAATATATATTAAGGGTTCTCAAAGGCCTTAAGGTTCCACAGACCAGAGGCATTAGAATCTTCATGAGCTTATTAGAAATGCAGAATATCAGGTCCCACCTCAGGCCTACCGAATCAGAATTTGAATTTTAGTGAGATCTTCAAGTAATGTACATATTTAGCAAAGTTTGAGAAATCTTGCTCTAAGATACTTAGGTAATTTCGAAGGCATACCTATTAGCTCAGCAATTATGATTCCAGAACACCATCCCCATTTCATATGCAACTTGAAAGCATTATGTAACTGGATTATTGGAACAAATTATGTGCTGTTATTTACTCAATATCTCAAATTTGGGAAGTCTGAAGAGCCATCTGCAGATATAGAAAAGAAATTACTACTAGTTGGTGGTATGACTTGCTCCTTCTGTAAGCTATAAGCTGTATTAAGCTGTTAAGCTATATTCTGTATTCAAATGGCAACATGTCTATAATATTAAACTCTAGCACCAATTAGCTCATTATTTCATTACTTATTAATGAAACCACTAGTGGTCTCATTGCCAATTTTGTACAATGCATTGCTTGGGTTAAAAACCAGTGTGGGCAGCACCAACAAAATTTCTTAAGCAGCACACTTGGTATACTTGAAGAGCTAAAAGGAGCATTTCTATACTCAAAGCTGTAGCTACTTCAAACTACAGGAAAAAGGAGATTTCAACTTAAAAATACAGGACCTTTATTTTAGCTGAACATGATGCCACTTTTCTGGGCTGCCATAAAAAAAGGCCCAGTTTAAGCAGTTAACATCAGAATTCTTTTCCATTTGACTGTTTAACTCTTAGAAATCCACCTTGTCCAGAAGTCCACCCCAAACTTATCTCAGGGGTCCAACTCTCAGCCCCTGCAGCAAACTCACAGAAAGGGAAAGATCAGCTTTTTAAACTCACAGACCAACTCTGATCCAGCACAGGACAAGGTAAGCCCCCTGTGCTGGTACATTTGGAACAGTCTGAGCAGAGAGAGAAAAGCAGAACTCCTTTGTTGGTAAAAGGAGCCAAGATTCATTAGGTTGAGCTTGGACTAAAAACTATAAAAAAAAAAAGTGCTATGTGAGCACAGTTTTCATTGTTGCATCCAAGGCTCTTAATAGTCCTGTCTGGAGACAGGAGTGCAAAAAGTCCACATCCCATACCTGGCCAAAACTTGAGTACTGTTTTGAACAAAGCAAGAGGTAATTAGCCACAAATTCCCAATGAACTCTCACAAAGATATCTTTGACATTTTTCTTTTGGGGTAGAAGAAGGAGGAAAAAACTAGTGGCACTGATGCTTTTGTCCTTTTAAATTTAAAAGAAAAAAAATGAGAAATTCAGCAGTAAAATATGTATATTACCACCAACAGTCAAACCAAGAGGCTTGAAAATGCACTATTAGAAGACTCAAAGAAAAAAAAAAAGAAGAGACCACTCAAAGTCCAGAATTCACAGGCTCACAGGAAATTTGGCACTGAAAAGACAGACCGTCCACATGTAAGGAATTATTCCCCAATAATATGCTACAATTCAAATGGCAGAGGCCTTCTCAGGGGACTGGGAGGTGGGGAACAATGGAATGGGGCTCACAATTCATGAGATGTCTTCACTAATTTCAATAACCACATTGCCTAGGAAAAGTTGATTCTTCAGAGTCAATCAATCTTTTTAAGACAAAAATTTGAACCAGAAAAGGAAAATCAAGAAAGGGAAAAAATGCTTCTCTAGGAGAGCCCAGCTGCGGCAGGTGCCACAGGAAAGGAAAAACGACAATTATGGGCTATCCAACTAACAAGAGGTTTAAGAACCTAAACCCACAACTCTTTCCAACCACAAAAAGACAGTACCAGGATCTGAGCATCCCATCGGGCCTTAAGTGCTAAATTCTAAAAGCCTCACAGAAGTCTGGGTCAATTGTGGAAAGGGTATAACAAGCTAAAACATGGCTGAAGAATCAACCAATGATTCAGAGCCTGAATTCTAACACCCCCTAGACCCCCCGAGACCCAACGTGGCTTACAAACAGGAAACATAAAGGAAGTGATGTGGAGGAGTCACACCCCTCTGTTGAACAAGTGGGACAAAATACCAAGACTCTTGACACTCTCTTCAGAGTCTAATCATCTGTAACAGCTTCTTTTCCACTGTTCTTATGTGTGAAACAACCACTTAAAAAAAAAACCCAAATGTTTCTCAATGTCTATGATAACATTTTAAGTTGGTATTGTAGTTTCCATCTTAAACATGTTTTCAGATATATTAATTACTGAATCTTCACAACCCCCAATATAGTCAAAATAGTTGTTTTACCTCCATTCCACAGACCAAGAAACTTCCCACCAGAGGTAACGTGACTTTTATCCAAGATCTCAAAGCCTGTTTTTATAGCACATGGCCCAGATAGAAACCCAGGTTTTCTGATGTTAGTTGTAGTGTGCTCTATACTCTGCTCCTCAAAGTGTGGGCCAGACAAGCAGCACAGCATCAGCTGGGAGTGAGTCATGTGCACGTTGACGTTTGAGGCTCACTGCTCTGCAAGGGATTACGGTGCCCCTCTAAGGTAATAACTCTGTCTCTGGATTTGGAGTCAAAAATGTTTCTTACCCATGCAGCCTTCCTCATCCACAAAGGTTCTAGATTTCAGCACACGCTTTCGTTTTCTTTTGTTTTCTCCATTTGAGCTCTAAAAGATCATAGGAAGATCAGAGGACACAACATTAAGTTGACCAATGAAGCTCTAGAGAAAAATAACAAAAGCTTTTTAATCTACAACAATCACCCTCCAACATTCCATGATGATAAAATGTTGAATAAGGAACTCTACAGATTTCCTTTTAGGGGACCAGCCATACCAAACAGACAAGTTATGCTCATTGTATGTGCAGGCTCGATATTTTGTTGTTTGTGAGAAGAAAAGTAGCATGTTGAGCAAAGAACTGTGTTCATTCAGTCAACAAACTCTTGCTGGGAAATGCAGGTACCATGGCTAAAAAGACCAATAGGACAAGGAGCTTAGGGGAGGAGACGGACAAGGAGAACAGACCATTGCAATCCACTGTACTAAGGGTTTTTTTTTTGTTTTTTTTTTTTGTGTGAGGAGGATTAGCCCTGAGCTAACATCCGATGCCAATCCTCCCCTTTTTTCTTGAGGAAGACCGGCCCTGGGCTAACATCCGATGCCAATCCTCCCCTGCTTTATATGGGACACCGCCACAGCATGGTCTAGCAAGCGGTGCATCGGTGCGTGCCCGGGATCCGAACCTGTGAACCCCGGGCCACGGCAGCAGAGCGCACACACTTCACAGCTGCGCCACCAGGCCAGCCCCGTGTACTAAGGGCTTTAATGGAGGGCTGTAGCAGGTATTATGGGAGCACATAGGGAAGCCCCTAAACCAGACCAGAGGTTTCCACAGCATCTGCCCTTGCTTTAGACACATGCAATTTGAGCCTTAACACTGCAACACTACAACCATCTAATTTAGTCTCAAACAGGTATCACTGATACAAATTTCCTTTTCTCTCCACTGGTCTTTCATCCCATTTTCTCTTCAGCTAATGAGAAAATTAGTGCAAAATTTAAAGGACAGTCTTAACACAACAAATTAAGGAAAACTAATAGTCAAAAAGGAAAAAAAACTTGTCAGCACCCATCTTCTCAACTCTTCATTATCTATACTAATAGATGTAGCCAAGATGTAGCTTAAGACCATTCAAAACTATACTTTCCCATTTGTTGCCAGCTTTTCTCATCTAGCCCCTTTCCAGAAGAGCTTCTGAAGAGCAACAAATCTGTATAAGTTGTTTGTTCTGCTCTATCTTTCACACACTTTGCTCTGATGCAGGCAAGACCTCATTTTGCACAATTCCACCAGGAGTTGAATAGCATAGCAGCCCCGATAGTGGAGGTCATGAAAAACAAAACAGCTCCCAGGATTGACCTCTGCCACCTTGCTGAGACCACGTCCTACAGCTGAACTCGCACTTCAGGTGAGAAGAGAGGGAGTGCCCATTCTGTACTACCTATGGGAGAGCAGAATGAGACAAGGGCCATCTGCTGGCATTTGTGAAGTCTACAGCAGCGAACTGGTTTAGCATAGTAGTTCTGGCTCCTTGGGCGATAAAGGAGACATGGACAGGCAACCATCCCAGTAAAGTTGTACCTTGACAGAAGGAGGCTCTGGCTCAGTCTTCGGCACTGGTTCAGGAGATGGAGAAGCAGCGGGAGGTGGGGATGGTGACTCAGCTTCATAAGCCCCAGGAGAGTCTGGCATGACTGAAATAACGAAAGCAGCTGAGATAAGAGAACTACAGCACTATCTGGTACACCACCTTCTCCACTGGCTCTCTAAACTTCTGTGTCCAGCAAAGGGCATTTTGCAAGCAGTAATTCATGACAACCAAGGACTCTGCAGTTATATATCTTTAAATATATATATATATATATATTTAAAATACATGTTTTATTAATTTTATGCAAAGAAAATCAGAGAATCAAAAATTATTCGAGCTGGAATGTACCTTAGAGACCATCTTAGCTAAATTTTTTATTTTACAGATAAGTCAGGGTATGAAGTTGTTTTATAAATATCCACTGATCATCTACCACGGGTCATATATTTCACTTACATTGTTTCACTTTATCCTCACAAAGAGACAAGTATTATTATTTGCACATTAGAGTTGAGTTAACAGAGGCTCAGAGAGGTTAACTTACCAAGGTCACAGAGCTTGCAGGTGAGGAAGGAGGTTTTAAATCAAAGTCAATCTGATTCCACAGCCTCCCTATTCCCACTATCCCATGCTGCCTTACCATTGAGGGCCAGACATTTTCTCTTAAGATCAAGTAAGTGGAGATAATCCTCAGATTATACCAATTGTTCCATGCCAGAGTCTTTGTGACTCTTCTGAGGATTATTTGCAATCTCCTGAGATGTTTGTTAGACTGAAATTTTCCAGCTGATGTTAAGAGCATAAACTTTGGGGGGGAAATCATCTTTGAAATGATGATCACAATTATAGCTCTAACAATTAAGACTTCCTTAATATGTTGTATGGGAACTACTTCTAGTGATTGCCCCACTGATGAAGCATGTTTTGCTACAGTGAGATTAGCAGGAAAGAAATACAGCTATGGAAGTGGTACCACTCAAGAAGAGAGCATCACCAGAGGGATCCCATCATTTCTGAATAGTTCCGGAAATAGTGGTCTTAGTATAAGGCCCATGAGAGGGGAAATGAAAATCCTCAGCTGACCTATTGCTTAATCACGACAAAGAAACTGCTGGTCAAGGGACTGGGTAGCTGCTTAGCCTCACCTGCTCCCTGCATCTCCTGGCTGTATTCAAATTCTTAGCACAAGTCTTGGATCTGACATTCTCCCAACTGATTAGGTCAGTGTTAAAAATTATGACAGTGGAGGGTTCAAGGCCAAACGACCTGAAGAGGTGAAACAGAACAAGAGCCAGAATGAAACAATAAATTACGCACTTCAAGTATGAAATGGGCCCCAAAACTTTATAAGCTCTGGGAAATGAGAGACAGAAACATAAAAGGAAAGTGGTCCAGCTATTAACCCAGCTCTGGGAGGCTAGAACATGATGGGAGCTGAAGAAAGCAAGAGCAAAGTCAAACCACAGAGCCAAGCACCCATTTTTCTGAAGGTATAGTTATTAAGAAAGCTGTGTCACAATGTGTTACAGTGGTAGGAGGAAAGTTTATACAGTGAGAAAGCCAAAGAAAAGAAATTTTGAGTACTCACAGTAATAAATTTAGTAGTTCTTATTCTATTTCCAGTTCTGTAACCACTTGACTTAACCACAGAAAACACTTAATCCCAGTCCCACCCTCTAACTGCACTGTGTGGAACTGTTCATCTAGAGTCCCCCTCCAGACTCTAAGCTCCAGAGAGGCAGAGGCACCACCATTTCCCTGGCATTGAACACAGAGTAACAATAATTTTTTCTTAAATAAAGGAAAACAATCATTTTCTGAACTAAATTTGGGATGAGGGGCTTCTAGGTCATGAAGATTCAACACATACTTCTCTCTCCCTTCCACATACCCCCAAAAGGAAACACTATAATGATAACAAAGGAATGAAATGTTGTAACCCCCCGTAACAGGGAAGAGAACAGAAGAGGAGCCAAGAGCTCTTGATGAATAAGAAATTTCAACAAATCCCTGGAAAGTGGTAGGCAGATGGGGAAAAAGTTGACAAGAGAAGCATCGGTCTGTTAGATGAGTCAGTTAGGAGAGGTTACTATATATCATAAAACTTCTATTTTATCTGATTTTTGAAATTGTGTATTTGTATTTCTTTAAAAAAATTTTTTTTTTTTTTTGGTGAGGAAGATTAGCCCTGAGCTAACATCTGTTGCCAATCCTCCTCTTTTTGCTGAGGAAGACTGGCCCTGGGCTAACATCTGTGCCCACCTTCCTCTACTTTATATGGGACGCTGCCACAACATGGCTTGATAAGCGGTGCATAGGTCCACACCCGGGATCCGAACCTGTGAACCCCAGGCCACTGAAGCAGAGTGCACGAACTTAACCACTATGCCACTGCGCCGGCCCCTAAAATTTTTTTTTAAATAAAATATTTTAAGAAGGGAAGGACAGGGAAAACAAATAGAGTTTTCTGGGCTTTACAAACACTAATCATTCATTCTCATAATCCCACAAAAGCACTATTACTATTATTTCTGTTTTATATAACTGAGGTTCAGAGATTAAAAAAAAAAAACAAAACCTTGCCCACATTCATAAGCTAGAATCCATGTCTGTCTGCCAAGCATTTATTATCAAGCCAAGCATTCTCCCTCAATATATTTTTAGTGACATAAACGTAAGAAATGTTTGATGCATTGGTGTATTTTAAATATATTTGTAACAAATTTCCAACTCTTCAGAGGAAAGGTACTCAAGTAGTGAAATATCACTTATCCCAGGAAAGCAACCTTTGTTGGAGCAGAAGAAGAGCTGTGGTAAAACTAATTTTAGGAATCCAGCAATGTAACCACTGTTTATCAGCGAGTTTTCTGGCAGAGATGGGTAATTAGAATTCCTGGAAATCATTCACAGCTTCCTAGGAAATTTTTTTAAACTACCTATCTTAACCTGAAAAGGGGTCATTTCCTTAACATTCTCCATAAGCAACTTACAAGGACTGAAAATGTTAGCAAAGACTTAAACATATCTTCTTTTATATCAAAAGAAATATGAAACTATTTCTTCCTAGCAATGAAGATATTACTCTTAATGTTCTTTCTGGGTCTGGTTTTTTCTTGCTTTACAAAGAGAGTATGTAGAACCGCTAAAGGTGCTTATGACTCTGCCAGCGAGAAAGAGAAAGGAACGGTCCTTTGGGTAGAGAGTTAAGGATACGAAGTTGAAGGGAATTTTCTGAGAGAAGGTACTGGCGAGTATATTTACTACTGTTCAACATCTACTGAACACCTCAATAGCAAAAGTGAGGTGAATAATAAGAAAACCTACTATGTGTCAAGCACTGTCCTGGCACTTGACACGTTATCTTATTTGATGTTCATAAAAAGCCTACACAGTTTGTAATAACATCCCCATTTTAGGGATGAGGAAACAAGGTACTGAAGAAGTTATCTGCCTAAAGTCACACAGTAAGCGACAGAGGGAAGATTTAACCCAGGTCTGTATGACTCCAAAGTCCTTGCCATTTCCTCCACCCCTGCTGCTCATCTCCTAACTTCTAGCTGAAGACAGTATATTGAACTAATAGCACATATTCAGTGCAACAGAAATAATAGGTTAGAGATTGTGTGAAGGTTTAAAATAAAATCTCACTGGCTTTGAGACAAAGAAAAAATTTAGGAATAAAATGGCAAAGGTTTATAAATTTAGATGCCAAAAATTATCTTTGCCAGAGAAAAAATCTGAGAGCCTCTGCTCTATATCATCTGTTATTATAGGTTGTCTGCCTCTATCACATTTCTTCTCACTCCTTTCCAAACTAAATAACCCCACTCATATTTCCAATCACCCACGAGTATTATTTTTGTGGGCTAAGGATCACAACTACAGAGAATATTTCAGAAGTATGTAATGAGTACTCAATCAACCACAGTAATTCCTTAACTTAGAGCTGACTCCTTCACTAATACCAGAGTACCTAGTTTACCTTTTTAATGTACATTAGGCTGATGGCATCAAAGACTTTTCCAAAATCTTCCCCAATTTCTTTTCCTGCTTGGAAATAGGGAAGACTGTTCCAATTAGCACATATTCCTAAGTTACTTCCTAATTATTTTCCTGCATTTTTGCATGGAGTTGCCTCTATTTCCTCAACTCTTAACTGGTCAGAATGTTCCTTGATGGTTCCTGTTTCATCCACACACTTGGGAATCTTCCTTTCAGTAGTCTTGGTCAAGGCATTTTGGTAAATGACATGGAACGGGTATAGAGCAACTATCCCTACTCATTCCAAAGAGTCATTAAAAACCCTAACTCCATGGAGGAGTCAAAGATGTACCTTCATCAGAGACATATTCAACTTCCTTGCACAGTTTCTTAAGTCAATTAATTTCTTTTGCCTTACTGTCATCTCTATAGAGAATTTGCTTTTTCACTCACTTGTACAGTTAAGCTAATACCCCCTTTTGGGGGGTGACTCTGTTCCTACTTTCAGTTCTTCTTACAGCTGTTTCTGCTAAGAGTTGAGTCTAACAGTTTAGTTCTGTCCTTCAACAGCACAGCAGCTTCCTTTTTCTGCATTCATTATTCTTCTTTAATCCCTTTCAGCATCAGTTTGTTTGCTTTTGTCTACGTACCTCTATGTGATGCTAAATTGCCTTGGACAAGAGTTCTGCGTGCCATTACCTAAAATGTTGTATACTCATTATGCCATGAATTCATGGAGAATAGATTACAGCAGCTCAAGTTTTCCACCATTGGTTCTCAAAGCAGGCTTTTCAGGGTACAAGTTGTCTGGCATATCAGTTCAACCTAGGTATCTTTCTCCTAAGCCTCCTTCTCTTTCTATACACTTTCATTTACATGATTTGGGAAGAGATCTTTGCTCTTAGAATACCTGATATTCTTTTAAAAGGCACACTAACTTTCCAGGTGAGAATCTTGTCCTTATTCTGTTTGCTTACCTTACAAGAGTGCCCACAACCTAAAACTGGAAGGGTCCATGGTGTCATTCCCTTTCAACAATGACAGACACTGTAGATTCTTCATCTTAGCATGGTTTTACTTATATGGTACAAAACACCACCAATACCCTTGATGCCTACAATGTCACCTGTTTTAAAGCATTCACATGAAGGTAGCCAAAAGAATATCTCCATTTTATTTTTTAAAAAAGAAAAGGTCTTTGATAATACATACAATAATAACTCTTATTCTCTTTCACTCTGTTTTTTGGGCAAATTACCAGAAGATCATGGATCTGGTCAAACAGTTAAAGTAGATTTTAAACAGAAATAGGTGCTATGTCTCTCAAAGCTAGGATTACTACTGTCGTTGTGACCCATAATAAATTACTTTTTAGCTCCTTGAGCATAATAAGAATCTACCCCTGCTATGAAGTGAATGTTTGTGTTCCCCCAAAATTCCTATGTCGAAGCCCTAATCCCCAATGTGATGGTGGGGCCTTTTGAGAGGTAGAGCCCTCATGAATGAGGTTAGTTTAGTGCCCTTAAAAAAGACACGAGAGAGATAATTTCTCTCTCTGCCACGTGAGGATACAGCAAGAATGTAGGTCCTGCAAATCAGGAAGAAAGCTCTCACGAGGAAACTGAATCTGCTGGTGCCTTGATTTCGGACTTCTCACCCTCCAGAACTGTGAGGAATAAATTCTGTTGTTTAAGGCACCCAGTCTATGGTATTTCTGTTGTAGCAGCCTGAACCGACTGACACAATCCCACTAGCCAAAAATTAATAGCAATGCATACCTTCATCCTCACTGCTATCAGACTCAGGAAGTTGGATTCTTCTCCTCTTTTTCTTTATGTTTTCAGTTTCTTTTGTCTCATCATCAGATAACTCGACTTGCTTCCCCCTGTGGCCATCCAGGAATAATTTAAGCATGTTACACAAAATAAAAATATAAGTATTCATATGCTACTATGGGTCTTGCTTCATAACTCACAGTCTTAATTCCAGAGTGTAGAAAAGAAGAGTTCAAGTAGACCAATAAGGATTCTTTTTCAAGATACTCTGCTAACCTACCACAACGAGGTCACTTCATGAGGTAACCAGAATAGAAGTTTTCTCTAGCTCTCTAAAGACCCCCCTTGTAAGCCACCACCAGGTTACCAAGAATTTTTCCAAATTCCTTCTTACTTCCCCTATTGTCCTTTCAATCATTCAACAAGCATTAAATAAGCAGCTACTACCTACATACAAGGTTTTTTGCTAAACACTCAGATGCATAGATCAAGAAAATACTGTTTTCAAGAAGGTCTGGCAGGAAAAACAGATATAAATACCACTAACTGTAATACAATGTGATAAATTTTACTGGGCAAATAAAATGTTACGGGACATGGGTCTTACTTGAAAACTTTAAAAGCTAAATAGGAGTTCATCAGATAAAAAAGGGAGACACATTTTAAAGAGAAAGAACAATAACAACAAAGGCATAGACTATAAGAGCTTAAGGTGATTCAAATAACAATAAAAAAACTAGACTCCATCTTGACGTTATTTAGCTCCTCTGTTTGGATACTCCATCACACTACTCATTTGATCAACAACTAATTTTTCAAGGGCCTACTGTGTGTTAGTGACACAAATAGGTACAAGACGTAGTTTTTGCTTTCAAGAACTTTATTTCTACATAACTAAATATAATTTATTTTTCTACCATAAGCTAGAAAAAGAACAAATTAAACCCAAAATAAGTAGAAGGAAATAATAAAGATAGGAGCAGAAATCAGTGAAATAGAAAATTAACAAAGCTAAAAGTCATTTTTGGGGAAAAGATTAATAAAATTAATAAGACTTTTATAAAACTGATAAAAAAGAGAAAAATATATATTACTAATATTAGAAATGAAAGAATGAAATGTTATAACTACAAATTACCAAAGAATAAGGCTATATTATCAACAACTTTATGCCAATAAACTCAACAACTTAGATGAAATAAATTCCTTTAAAAACACAAACATAACTGACCCCCCCCAAAATAAGAAAATTTGAATAGCTCTATTTAAAGAAATCAAATTCATAATAAAAACTTTCCCACAAAGAAAACTCTAGGCCCGGATTCACCGGTGAATTTTATCCAACTTTTAAGAAAGAAATAATATATATCTTATACAAACTCTTTAGGAAAACAGAGGAGGAAACTCCTCCCAACTAATTTTATAAAATTAGCATAACTTTGACACTGAAATCTAACAGAGACATTACCAGAAAGGAAATAACTGATCTATAGCCCTCATAAGGGTAGAGGCAAAAAATCCCTAACATAATATCAACAAATTGAATCTAGCAATAAATAAAAAGCATAACACATCATGACCAAGTGGGATTTATCCCAAGAATGCAAGGTTGGTTTAACAAAAACCAATCAGTGTAATTCACCACAGTAACAGAAACACCACATGATCATCTCAATAAACGCAGAAAAAGCATCTGTCAAAATTCAACACCCATTCATAAAACCTCTCAGCAAACTAGGAATAGAAAAGAACTTCCCCCATCTGGTAAAGGGCATCTATTAAAAACATACAGTTCCCATCCTACTTAGTGGTGAAATGCTGAATGCATTCCTGGCAGTAACATCAACAATGAGTGTTGCGCCATGGTTGGGGACATTTTAATCCATCTATAGCACATGTTCCTAGGAGGTGAGGCCACCAAACAGAGCCTTGACCTTCTGAAACTTTAGCATTTTGTTGATGTTTTCTCCTAGAGTGGCCCCAACCTTGCCACAAAAGTCAAGTATTTCTGGGCCTATCAGTGCTGACAGTGTCCTTTAGAATTTCTTTCAACAGACTAATTCCTACCAACTATGAGGTAGCGTCTCAAATTCCTGGATCCATTTTTAATAGCTTGTGTGTGCTTTTTATTTTCTTTTCTAATTACATTTTACCACTTGAAAAATAAACCCATTGATATAAAAAGAAAACAAAGAACTTTTTCTCTTAAATTTCACTGGAAACAGTAACCTTCATTTGGCAATTTGAAGTGAAAAACAGGCACACTTATGCCATGTCCACAAATTTAAAATGAAGCAAAGGAGAAAAGACAATCAATTTAGATCAATGGGGCCCAAAAAACTGGCTTTGGTCTCTGAATCACCTCAACTGGCTGATTCCATAGTTCCACTTCACCAGATAAGCTATTAAGCTCCTCTCTCCATGTGTCCCTAAGGCAGTAAGTAGGATTTAGTGCTGAACTGAAAACTGCCTGCTGTCAATAAGCCCAAACAGACCTTTTCACCCCCAGCAGAGGCACTCTTCCCCTACCAGCAACAAAATTTTCCTACCTTTTTTTTTCCTTCTGCTGCATCTTAACAGGCTCTGCTTTTTTGCTGGATTTCTTCAGGCCTGCAGGGGCTGCCAGCTTTGGTTCAGTGACAGACACTGGAGGTTGCTCCACTAATTTTTCTTCTTTCACTGCTTGTTCTGAATCCAAATTGACTTTAAGTTTACCTACAAATAAAGTATAGCAGGCGATATATAACCTCATCGTGCAATATTAATCCATCATTCCTTTGACAGTCTACTAAGTGCCAGGAAATATGTTAGGAGCAGGGGATAAAGGGATAAAAAACAGGGAAAGAGGTAGTTCCTTGCAACATTTTAAGGCAACTGTTAAGGAAAATCTAATCACATTTTCTTATTACCTGAATGATCAAGTCACTTGTATAATCTGACTAATTAAAAGCAACTCCTTTTTATACTCAAAAAAATATGAAATACCTTTTCAAGCAAAGAAAGATAACAAACGACGACTTTTTAATTTTGTCACCAATGACGTAATTTTTTTACATATAAAGCATTAAGGTTTTTGTTATTGAGATATAATTCATATACCATAAAATTTACCCTTTTAAAGTGTACAATTCAGTGGCTTTTTTAATTGTGCAACCATCACCACTATCCAATTTTAGAACATTTTCATCACTTCAAAAAAAGAAACCCTATACCCACTAGCAGTCACCCCTCAACCCCAACCCAGCTCTTTATAACCACTAATCTACTTTCTGTCTCTATAGATTTGCCTATTCTGGATGTTTTGTATAACGCAATCATACAACATGTAGCCTTTTGTGCCTGGCTTCCTTCATCTTGCATAATGTTTCAAGGTTCATCCATGTTGTAGCATGTATCAGCACTTCATTTCTTCTTATGGCTAAATAATATTTCACTGTATGGATATATCACATTTTGTTTATCTACTCATCAGATGATGGACCTTTGGGTTGTTTCCACTTTTTGGCCATTATGAATAACGCTGCTATGAACAATTTGTGTACAAGCTTTTGTGTGGATATACAGTTTTTTTTGTTTGTTTGTTTGTTTGTTTGTTTTTTTTATTTTTTCCCCCCAAAGCCCCAGTGGATAGTTGTATGTCGTAGCTGCACATCCTTCTAGTTGCTGTATGCGGGACTCGGCCTCAGGATGAACGGAGAAGTGGTGCCTCGATGTGCACCCGGGATCCGAACCCGGGCCACCAGCATCACAGCGCGCGCACTTAACCACCAAGCCACAGGGCCGGCCCTGGATATACAGTTTTAATTCACTTGAGTAGATACCTAGGAAGTGGAAGTGGGTAACTGTGTTTAAGTTTTTGAAGTACTGCTACACTGTTTTTCAAAGTGAGCACATCATTTTACATTCCCCACAGCAATGTACAAGGGTTCGATTTCTCCACACCCTTGCCAACACTTGTTATTGTCCAGCATTAAGTTTTAAATGGTTCAAGTCCCCACAATCAACTCTCTTCATCCAACTCAAGCTTCATTTTCACTGCAATGATCTTGTCATGTGTCAAATACAATAAAAACATTCATAATTTTACTCTAAACATTCAGCATTGAAAAAACATCTGTTAAATCAGCTTTGTAAGCCACCCTTTTTATTAGGTGAATATTTAAATCTTTTATTTTATCCAGGGTTTCCCCTCCCTCTATTACATTCTATAACATCCTGTTATTCTCTGCCTAGCAATTACAATTATCAACTATTTTATTTTTCCTGTACTTGTCTCTCTCTCCCACTAGAATATAAGGGCCACAAAGGCAGAGACCTTGTTTGTCTACATTTTCTCCATTTTATCACCAGTGCATAATAGTGCCAAGCACACAGCACGTGCTCAATAAATATTTGCTAAATAAACACATGAATAAATACGAGTATACTTCCACAGTTTGACTGTTTTTTACAATTAGCAAATATTCATATCTTATGTATTTTAGAAATAATAATTTAAAAATTCACTGTTTTTTAAGGTTACAAATGTACACAAAAAACAACAAATAAACATGTGGGCCTCAACAAAGTTGCCAAGAAACCACACAATTTGATTGGATATAGCAGACTCGTACCAGTTATGCAGGCCAGTGACATTAGCATGATCTATTTTCACAGAAGTAGGGAGCCCTCCTTGGGCACTGTGCCTGCCAATAACATAAGTGTGCTTCCCAATAACCTGAAAGTAGCAAAATTTCCATATACTTTCAGAAACATAAAAGTGTTTTCTGATAGCTGTTATGACAAATAAAAAACTGTCCCCCCTAGGGGCAAGCCCGGTGGCGTAGTGGTTAAGTTTGCATGCCCCGCTTCAGTGGCCTGGGGTTCACATGTTCAGATCCTGGGCACGGACCTATGCACCACTCATCAAGCCATGCTATGGCAGTGTCCCATATACAAAGTAGAGGAAGATGGGCACAGATGTTAGCTCAGGGCCAATCTTCCTCAGCAAAAAGAGGAAGATTGGCAATGGATGTTAGCTCACGGCCAATCTTCCTCATCCAAAAAAAACAAAAAAAACCATCCCCCCAATCCTTCCCCCAACCACCAATTTGACCATCATAAAAAAGCAGAATTCTGACTAATTTTGCTTGCATAGGCATATAACAAAATGCTTCCCCACAAAATTTTTGTAAAACTGATGCTCCAAGAAAGTGTGCCATAATTATCCTGCGGCTCCTGCATTCTTCCTGGTATTCTGCCACATACCCTCAGGGGATGTGTACTTGATATGAGAAGTATGAAAATATGTGACTATTGGTTCTTTCTATATGAAAGAATTCTAATCTAAATAAAGGAGATTTGCTTTCTCAAAAAGTAAATATTTTTAAATAGCCATTACTACCTGGACCCTTCTAATTTAAACTGAGGTTTATCTAGTTCATTACTATGAGTAATCTGCAAAAATCACTAAAGAAAGGCAAAAGATTTGTTTTTGTAGCCCCCTGGGGAACAGAGGTAACAATGGTCACATCAGGCAAACAGACACCGGCATCCAAGATATTAACCTCAACACTATACTGCATAACCAGGCAGCCTCCCTTTTATTTTAATCACCCATTTTCAAGAGACCTATGAAACAAATATTTAATTCTCTTTTCAAGGCAGGAAGTAAAAATAGGAACAGTAAACTATCCTCCAAGAGATCTAAACTGAACCCAGCTCACCCTTAAAACTCAAGTGTTGGGGCCGGCCTGGTGGCGCAGCAGTTAAGTGCGTGCTCCACTTCAGCGGCCTGGGGTTTGCAGGTTCGGATCCCGGGCGCGCACTGACGCACCGCTTGTCAAGCCATGCTGTGGCGACGTCCCATATAAACTAGAGGAAGATGGGCATGGATATTAGCCCAGGGCCAATCTTCCTTAGCAAAAAAGGGGAGGATTGGCATCGGATGTTAGCTCAGGGCTAGTCTTCCTCACAAAAAAAACCCCAAAAAAGAAAAAAAACAAAACCTGAGTGTTCCAGCTGGAACTGGAACTTTTATCAATATATTGGTCAGTAGACTGCAAATTTATATTAGGATGCAGGAATGCCACACGGTAGTGTGTAGATGGTAAAAACTGGACAAGGTAGCTTTCACCTCAGATATAATAAGTTATTAATATTAACATTCACATATTAGTCAAAGAAAGGTAAAAAAATGCTTACTCATAGCAGCTTTTCCAAAAAAATTGCTCATCACATTCCCTTTCCCTGGTGCCTTGTTGCCTGCCGAAGATACCTAAAAGCACAGACAAGAAAACACACACGATTTTTTTCTAGTGTTTACGCTGCTCTTCAAGTAGTAGTTAAAAAAAAGTCTCTTCAATAGCAGAACACACCATCATGATGGTACGGTCTCTATATAATCATGCCAAAGTGTGTAAGCATTAGATATAAGAACAAATCCAGACCAGACAGATCTGGTGTTAATCTCATCTCCAAAGCTTAGTTTCTCATAGTTCTTATAAAATTATTATCCACTAATGTGTCTAAACTTTTTTCTTGAGTATATTTAAAAACTACTTAATTTGACAGAATTAAAACAGATCAGAGGGAGTATGGTACACAATGGGGAAAAATCTCCAAAAATTACATTTGTAATCATCAAAAGTGGATTTGAATGCTGGTTCTACCACTTAATAGCAATCTGACACGAAGGCAAATTACTTAACAAGTCTAGGCTTCCATTTTACCACATACAAAATGGAGATGATAGTATCTACCTCACAGAATTGAAAAGAAGATTTAAACAAAGATCAAACTATTGGTACACAATAGGAGTTCGATCAATGTTACTGTTTTCCCTCTACCTCTCCTCTCCTTTCCCAAAGTGGAAGCTTTAAACTGACAATGATGGTAATATTAGTAATAACAATAATTTTGCTTTTCTGGATTGTTTTTTAATAGTATCTTAATGAGACTTTCCTTAAGTCAATGCACTTAAGTTAGTTCAGATGACTGAGTAATAAAAAACTAAGGGAATAGCATGAAGAAAAAAACAAGAAAAAGTCATAAAATAGAACAAGAATGTTAAATACACTAGGAAGGAATGCATACAGGGCAAAGTCTGGAATATAAGATATTCCCAAAATGACATATTGCTAATATACAATTCTTTGTACTTTACAAATTTTCAAGGTGTTCTCACATGCATTATTTCAACTGGGTCTCTCAACAATCTTGTTATGTGCACAGGGTAGGCATTAACGTTTTACAGGAAAATCCAAGGCTTGGTGAGAGGCATTATCAAAAGAAAAAGGACCATTTCAGGTAAGAATATCAAGAATTAAAGGATTCAAACTAAAGTAGAAAAATTCAAATATCCAAACCTTATACATAATTAAACTACTACCACTGTAACTATTAATGCTTTTCTAGTTACTCATTCTGAGCTGTGAAGGCATATCTTTAAAGACTTACATTTGTTACCTCTTTAGCCTCTGTTTTGGTTTCCTTGTTGGCATCATGGATTTTAGAAGCAGCTTTAGAGGCAAACATTCCCATAATTCCTTTGGGCTGCTGGGAAATCTGTTTGGAGGTAGGTGGGCCATGACCATTGGTGGTCAACTCATTATTGGCTTGTGTCTCACTTGACACCTGAAGATCTGACTGCTCAAACTTTTCGGAAGATGAGGATTCAGCAGGAGCTCTAGGAACTGCAGCTGCACACTGTATGGCACTAAACCTGGGGACAGAAAAGTTACATTACTGTCAATAGCAAAGATTATTTTCAAAAACTCTTGCTTCTTCCACACAATACCTTCTAACCCTAATACTATAAAATTAGAAAATTTTAGAACCAGAATGGATTTTATAAATTATTTTGTTCAAAACTCTCATTTAGATAAAGAAAGAAGTACTGGAGAGAAGTGAATGACTTGTCCTAGGTTATACATCTAGTTAGTAATAGAACTAGGACTGGAATCAGGTGTCTTCAACCATACCATATTGAATATTTTTGCTTTTTTGAAAAAAGCATCCTAATTCAAAACAGTAAGAATACACCAAACAATAACAAAAGATTAGTAATTTCACCATCCTTGGGAAACCAAATGGTTATCTCTTGTTTTTAAAGATTTTCACCTTATGGGGCTAAATATTCAATAAATATTGACTGAACCAAAATTAAGAGCTTTAAATATTAACACATTTCCTGGCAACTCTCTCTTTCATGCTTTAAAACATGGAAGAAGCTGGGAACAGAGCCACTGGCTCCTATAATCTGTGGTCCTTTACAGTCATTTGTTAATAATTTCTAATAATTCCAACTACCAGCATCAGATAAGTATGCTCAAAGCCAAGTGAAGAAATTTGGACAGTGTGCATGGCATATTAAAGGGAACTTTCATCTCTTCCTCTCTAATCATTGTAGATGTGACACAAATCCATAATGTAACGTTCCACATTGTGAGTAACTGATCCAGCCTTCTTGAATGGCTGCATTAAAGCAAAGTTCCCCAACTTTTCCTAACAAAGAACATTTTATTCCCCCTAAGTCTTTTGCTTCTTGGGCGTAGGTGAGAGTTCCTTGAAGGTGGGAAAGTGTATTATTCATCTTTTGTATTTCAGGTACCCAGTACAAGACCTGGCATGTAGAAATATATGTTGAAAAAAAACATTATTTAGGGGCCAGCCCAGTGGTGCAAGCAGTTAAGTGTGCGCGCTCCGCTGCGGCGGCCCAGGGTTCGCCGGTTCGGATCCCAGGCGCACACTGACACACCACTTGTCAAGCCATGCTGTGGCGGCGTCCCATATAAAGTGGAGGAAGATGGGCATGCATGTTAGCCCAGGGCCAGTCTTCCTCAGCAAAAAGAGGAGGATTGGCAGATGTTAGCTCAGCGCCGATCTTCCTCACCAAAAAAAAAAAAAATTATTTAAGTTACTGAAAGTGAGTCTTCTGGCTTCTCTCCCTTCTTTAGTGTACCACCTCAACTTGGGGTGAGAGAAGATGGCGGTTAAGAAACTATGTGGTGATAGCAATTATCTTAGAGATCAACAGGGCATAACTTCGAGATTAACCCCTAGAATAAATGGCCTAAGAAAAAACTTCATGATAAATCATTTAATTTCAGAAGTAATTTTAGACTAAGTAGCCCCAAAGCCAGAGTCTACAGCTCCAAAAATCTTCCACTGATTTATTATGGCCCACATCAGAAAACCCTACATTAACACAAATATTTTGTGCATCGGAGTTAAGAACAGACGGAAGTCATTTCCTTTCACCCACCACTCTTCCTCTCTGGCTTTGCAGTGCCTCCATGTACAAAGAAAAGAGCAATGTTTTATTTCATTGTCAACATCTAAAGTTGGCCCCAAGACAACTCTTTCTCCATTTGGTCTACATTCCACACCTTAGGGTCAGGACCAGGAACTGGCAATGAGGAAGAGACCAGTTAGGCTGGGAACACGTCCGAAGAGAGAAGAATCTGCTCAGTCCTAAAATTTCAACTTTCTTCCTGTCACAGCACTTCTTAAAACACACGAAACAATGAGTCAGATCTCAGTTGGCCTATAATTCTCAGAACCAAATACAAACTTCTTTACTGGAGATAAATTCTTCACAGTTCTACTGAGGATAATTTAGTATTTAAGTAAAGTTTCATTAAAGGGCTTCCTATTACCACATTTCTACTTGCCATGTTTATTTTAGCGATCCCTGTGCAAACTTCATTTTGAACTTTTGAGTCACTTTTATTCTCATTTGCTTATTTGCTAGATACAACAGAAGAATTGATTTTTAGAGCTTGACATGCCACAAGCTCTAAAAATCTAGATTTTTACTACTAGATTTTAATACAAATTATTTTTGAAATCTAGGAATATAATTTACATAAACATACCAGGGTGTTCATGTTTTCTTGTAATCCTTCCCTAAAAGACATCAGACTCATAAATTATTACTCTTTAGCTATATTTATTTATTTAATAATATTTTATTTAATAAATATTTTAATAAATATTTGCAGCCCTATTACACTCAAGCTTTTGAGCTAAAGAAAAAAACAACTAATGTCTATCATTAATTCACTCAACAATTATTTACTGAATGCTTACCATTTGCCAGGCACCATTTTGGGTATACAGTGGTTAACAAAATAGACATAGTCCCTATTCTCTTGGAACTTACAGAAACTATGTTTGGCAATTCTATATCTATTTCTCCTCAAAGACCTGGCTCTGTCAGTTATCCCATCTCCCCCAGTATCTTTAACCATTTCCTCTTTTATGGCTCTTCCCCAACAATACAAGTTCAAGGCATTCTCAACTTTAAAAATGTATATATACTCCCTTAGTCCCAATTCCTCTTTAGCTACCTCTCTCTTTTTCCTCCATTTTACAGTCAAATTTCCTGCAAAAAGTTGTCCATTTTTGCTGTCTCACTTCCTCATGTCCCCATTTACTCAGCTGACCAGAATCTGGTTACTCCACTGAAAATGCTTACCAAAGCTGTCACTAAATCCAATGGACACATTCCAGTTCCTATTTTATTTAGCTTCTCAGCAAGGTCTGACACTGTCAACCAGTCCCTCCTTTTTGAAACTCTTTCCTTAGCTTTTAAAATCCCATATATTCTCCTGATTGTCCTCTTATTTCTCACCACTCCCTCTTAGGCCTCTCTTTTTCTGCCTGTCCCTTAAAAAATGATTATCACTTAAGTAGTGCTTACTATGTGGCAAGCACTGTTGTAAGTGCTTTACATATATTAATTCATTTAATTCTCTACAACTCTGCGAGGTTGGTACAACTGCTAGCTTCATTTTACTGATGAGGAAACTAAAGCACAGAGAGGTTAAATAATTTGCCCAAGGATACACAGCTAGTAACTGTGGCCCAGAGTTTTAGTTTCCACCCTTCTTTCATTCTATACATTCTCTCTGCATGACTGTATCTACTGCTGTGGCCCAATTAATTACCTACTTTTTCTGATCCCAAAATCTCTATCTTCACCCCAGATTTCTCTCCTTAGTTCTAGACTCACCTATCTATTGCAAAGGAAGCTCCACTTGGACTCCCCACAGGCTTCTCAAACTCAACATGTCCCAACACAATTATCATTTTTTTCCTCTCTCCCAAAGCCTGCTCCATCTCATATATTCTCTTTCTTAGTGATAGCACCATCATTCATCCAGCTGCCCAACTCAGAAACATGGCCATCATCCTCAGCACCATCAACACCCCTCCTCCCCGACACACACACTCCTGGACCCCAACCACTTCCACAACATCCAGGTTTTGACGGTATGACTCTTTAACCCTCATACTTCCCCATCCCCAACACTACTACTATACTTCAGATAACTGTCACCTCTACCCTGAATCACTGTAATATTTCTCCTTCCTGGTGGCCTTGCCTCCAGATTATTCCCTCTGATCTGTCTTCACCATTGCGAGAGTGATCTTTCTATAACGCAATTCTGATCATTTCACTCACCTGCTTCAAAATCTTCAGTGGCTCCCAAATGCCCTCAGAATAAAGTCTCAACTCCTTATCCTAGTAGTCAAAGCATAGACTCTGACTCCTACTTAAGTCTTATATCTCATTATGTCCTACCCCTTACTCTAAGTTCCAGCCATAGAAGACTACCGTGGTTCCGCACAAGCACCACGTTTTCTCTCAGCTCTGTCCTTACTCTCTCACTTCTCCTTTGACTGGCTACTTCTGCCAGGCCTTCAGGTCTCACTCTAGATGTTATACCCTTCAAGAAGCCTTCTCTGTCTTGCCTCCACACTCTACCCCCACCAAAAGCGAGGGATGAATGCCCCTCAACATCATCCCCCACTATTACTCCTATTATAGCGTTGTCACACTGTATTGTAATTGCCTCCCATAGGAGCAGCAGTTCCATAAGCAGGACTGGGCTATATGCACTCTATAATGTGTGGCATGTCACGGGTACTCATCAGATCTTTGTTGAATGAATTCAAATTGTCTTGCTTAGTACCTGTCAAAGTAGTAGGTGCTCAATATATGTCTAGAGAACTGTCCTGAACCCTCAAAAAAACTCCACTAAGTAGGCATTATTACATCCAATTTAAAGATGAAAAACCCAAAGCTCAAAGAGTTGAGGTAATTTGTGCAAAGCCACTGGGCTATTAAGCAGCAAAGCCACGACTCAAGCCCATAATCATCAATTTCCAAAAAGCACATGCATTATAGTCCATTGCCTCTCTGTGCTGTGAAAGATACAAAAGATGAACAAGATCTGATCCTGGCTGTGGAAGATAACTGCTTTTAGATGGAAGGTAGAGGGATATCAAATTAGGAATAGTTTTCTGGAGGACAACATTTAAACTGGTTCTTGAAGGATGGGTAAGATTTAGACAAGCAGAGACTGGGGTAAGGGAGTAACGAAGGGGCACAATAAACATTTCTGGTGGCAGTGACAGGATAAATATATGAGAAATAGATTTATGGGGAGTCCACTGGAGTTTTCAATATGGGTTGTGGCTGCTATTTTTTACCTTATGATGTACTAATAAAACCAGGCATGTGTCTTACTGCAAGATAAATGGGGTTTTACTAAACTTGGCATTCACTCTTAAGAGGCAGCCACTGTGTAAACATCTTACAAAATCAATTCGTAAAGAAGCCCACAAGGAACATTAAGGAGCTCACTTGCTGCAGTTCTGCAAGTTGCTTTTAAGGATGTCATAGTCGGTATTGAACAGAGGCCCACTGTCCTTTAGCATGGCTTTCTGGATGCTGTACACATGGATGCTGGCAGTCACAGCTAGCTTGGACTTCACTGCTACAAGTCAACAGGAAAAGCAGTCTGTTAATACACAAACTTCATAGCATGTGGGGACTTTAACAAGAAACCCTTCTGCATTAAAACCATTTGCAATCTGTGGTGGTCCAAAAAGCTCTAACAGGCCAAATAGCTACATATACGGTACAACATCAACTCTTCTGTCTGTGATGGGGACATTATGACAAGGTAGGTGGTGGTGAGTCAGTTCTAAGTACAGCACCTGTGAGGGTATCACTCATCCAGTGGACACTCAGTAAATATTAATAAATGATTGATGACGGCCATGATGTTCTTTTTTTTTCAGTCAGGAAAGAATATTACACTCTAGCACATAATTACGGAATAAGTCATTTCTATCTGAGAAGACTCACTTACGTAATTCAATTTTAGTTTAGAAAAAGCAACTCTATAACAAAAATACTACTAACCAGATAAGTCTGCAGAGAAAAAACATAGAACATCACAAGAATAAATTTTAGGTTCCTTGAAGGAAGGGACTGTGCCTAACTTGTTCCAAGGCTCCAGTGCCTAGCACACAGCTTGACAGAGTAGATGCTCACTATGTATGTAGTGAATGAATAAATCTTGCTTTGCCTACCACAGTGGGAACTCAGAAACAAAACAATGGACATTTCTACCACCTTGAATATTTCAAAGTTAATTTGTAAGAAACGACTCCACTAGCAGGAGTCTTTATATGCAAAGTATGACAGTGCAGGTTTTGCCTTGAGACATAGGTCCAAGATCACATGCACCCCAGCTGTTATAAAATTCCTTTGAACTGGTTTTTAAAAAATAGAACAGTAGCATTAATAGTCTTGAAATAGGTGGAAAAATTTAATTCAGAAGTTATATTAAGTCTTTCTGACTTTAGAAAAGCATTCTTTAATTTTTTTCCTAAAAAAATTGTCATGGGGGCCAGGACAGTGGCATAGTGGTTAAGTTCACAAGCTCTGCTTCAGCGGCCTGGGGTTCACAGGTTCAGATCCTGGGAGCGGACCTAGGCACCGCTTATCAAGCCATGCTGTGGTGGCATCCCACATATAAAGTGGAGGAAGATGGACACGGATGTTAGCCAATCTTCCTCAGCAAAAAGAGGAGAATTGGCAACAGATGTTAGCTCACGGCTAATCTTCCTCACCAAAAAAAAAATATGTTATGGAACACAACACAGTATTCAGAGACAACTGTCTTTTTACAGTTGATGAGGTGTCCCATATGGCATTCATGAGAGTTTTTGCACATCTGTCACAGGTTTTGAAATCTTGTGATAAAAGTACTTTATTAATGTCAGCAGCTATTGGCTTTAAAAATGGGAAGTTAGGCAGATGTAGTATCATATTTTAACATGTTTCAGAAACTACTAATAAAAGGAATATATGGCTCTTCAGTTAAACAGCTACATATATTATATGAGATGTTAGGGGCAGATTTTTTATTGTGCTTACATTGATGCCATAAGAGGAAAAACTTGCTAAATCACTATAACACTTACCTTCCAATTTATCTTCTCTCACTACTGCAACCTTGTGGCACTGTAAGGAAATAACACTTCATTACTGTTTAATGCAGTACAATTTGCAATTTTAAAGTTTCCTTGCCAATAATTCAATTGCACTTGGATGTGAAATTAGGAACATTAGATAACCCTGAAAATATATGCTATATTTTAATAAAGTCAGATTCATTTTTAACTTGCTTGCTTTAAAATTTCTCAATCAGGTTAAGGAAAATGATAGAATATCGATATCAATACAATAAAAAAAAAAACCAGCATCTCAAATCAGCATGAGGAAAAGAGGACTTTTTAGTAAGTGATGTAATGAGAGTTACTGTAGAATCATATGGACCCAGATAAAAATTGGATCTCTCACGCCATACAACAGAATAAATTCTAAATGGATTGGAGATCTAAATGTAAAGAATGAAACCATATACGCACAGAAAGAAAATATGCTTGAATTCTTCTATAAACTGATATAACCTGAGAATGAGGAAAAGTTTCCTAACAATAATTCAAAACCCAGAAATAATTGAAATAATCCCTAAAAACTAACAAATAACTTTTAGATGACCAAAAAAACCCACTTTAAGCAAAGTACGAAGACAAGTGATAAAGTAGGAAAAATATCTGCAAATTATATCACAAAGGGTTAATATATAGCTTCTACAACAGAGAAAACAAAGACGAACAATCCTTTAGAAAAATGGGCAAGAGATGTGAACAGACAGTTCACAGAAAAAGAAATGCAAATGACCCTGAAACATACGACAACATGTGCTGTGTGGAAACAGGTACTCTTGGACATTGCTGGTGGGAATGAAAAATAGAGGTATTTGGCAATACCCAACAAAGTACATATGCACCCTACTTCTAGGAATGTAACCCTAAAACACACTGGCAAAAATAGACAAAACACATATCCACTGAGCTATTCACTGTAGCATTATTTGTAATAGCCAAAGATTGTAAATAACTCAAATAACTATCAATAAGGAACTGCTGAATAAACTAAGGAATATCTGTCAAGGTAGTATCATGTGGCTGTAACAAGGAATGAGGAATATTTCTATAACTGCTATGGAGTGATGCTAAGGATCTACTGCTAAGCAAAAACAAAGCAAAAGTGCAAAACAGGGTGTAAAGTACAAAAACTTTTATCTAAGAAAGGGGAGTAATACAAATATATATTTGCTTATATTAAAAATATATATAACAACAAAAACAATGAAAGAAGAACGCAAAACTAATAAAAATAGTTACCTGTAAGGGAACGGAGGGAACCTAAAAAGTGAAAGTGGGGAAAATATTGAATTTAACTAGATACTGAGTTGGTGGCTTAACCACAGAGAGAAATTATTTCAAGTGATTCTAAAACACAGCCTGATTGTGCATCCCTAGTAGTGCATCCCCTTTATATTTATATTTGTATCCTACAGACAAAAAGAACTGCACAGAAATTTGAAACTGTTTTCAATAATCATATTGTTAGTAAAAATATTGGTTTTGCTTTTCTAAACCTCTAATATTTAGCTAAAGCAAATACATATTTATGTTAATCTTAGGAACCACCAAAATTTACAACATAAGAGAAAAGAGCAATATAAAATCAAATAAGTTTTTTTTAACGTAATTGTAAATTTAAACTGGGAATATTAGTGTTTTCATAATGTGTTTTCTCTTTAAAAAAAAAAACAAAGAACAGGCATTCCTAAAAAGGTCATGTTTTGCAAAACTGTACAATAAAAATTACAGAGCTTATGAGAAAAACAGCATTAGGAACTAAGCACTCAAACCTATGTAACTTCGTAATAACAGCCCTAAAAACAATAATTGTTACCCTCAGGAAAAAAATCTGGACAGCCCAGATAGTTCAGTGCGGTTAAATGCTGCCTCAGGGGATACTGAAAACGCATAAAAACGACACAGTGGAAACGCCAGTTTGCTCGTGCTAAAACAACACAGACCAGAGCAGAGTTCTGATTCAGTGGGTTCCTGTTAAGGTGGACACAGGAGTAAGTTCAGCATCCACAAACCCAGAGCCTGGCTGGGGACAAGCCCCCTGAGTTTTTTAGCAGTTAAAGAAAAAGGAGAAATATGGCTAGTTGATGAGAGAAAGTTCTTTATAGAAAAATTCCAGCCAATAAATCCAGAAGGAGTGACAGAATTAGAACATCACAATTTTGTAACTCCTAGTGAATTAAAGATCTAGTCAATGATAAAAATCAATCTCAGCTAAAATCATTAGATGAAAAGCTAATGGTAACCTTAAAGGATGGATCAGGCTGACAACCTCTAACATCACAAAAAGAGAATCAACCAAACATTCCCTTGAAATTTTCACATAATTCTCTGAAAGACTCTTCAGGACGAGATTAGGAAGCTTTTACTTTCTATGTACTATTGTTAAACATTTTCACCATAATAATGATCATTGGAAAAATAAAAATTATTTATATTTAAAAAAATCCATACAAGGTCTATAATGTCTTTTTTCTTTCTAGAAACACTTAAAACTTAAAAAAGAAATTAGAAGGAACAAGAACAAAACCTCCCCCTGATATTATGCTTAATAATCTGCCTTTCCTTAGGAGGGCTCTCTCTAAGACAAAAACCATGGGTAAGCATCTACACTTGGTCAGTAATTCTATAGGGTTCCAGAGAGCTGCCCTATGGGGCTGTGAGGAGGGTGAGTACAGGGCTCCAAAATTCTCACAACCACTTCAACCACAGCAACCTTACTCAATATATTTTATATTAATATATAAAATATATATTTTTATATTAAATATATATTTTTAATATAAAATAAATACATATTTTATATAATAATTTTATCTTATATGATATATTTTATATAAAATCCTAATGGATTCTGATTAAGATTTCATTTGAAAAAGCATTCTGCTGCTTTAAAAAAGGTGGGCAAAATTTAAATGCCCTCAAATCTAGAAACAGAAGGACTTCTATGAGCAAACCACAGCATTGAAATTTTTAAATGATTATGGATTACACATCATTTTGAAAAACGGTCTCAAAAAATGCACTGAGGAACACAATTTGAATGCCTTTCAGGAGTTCATCCAAGAATCCCCTGAACCCTGAAGACCAACCCCAAAGACCATCCAAGGATCCGAAATTAAGAACTTCTGTCATACGAGTTAGAATAAAAATCTACAACTTTATCTTAAAACATAAATTCTTAACCTTGGACCCTGTTCCAGAAGATGTGTTAACACTCAAAAGTTTATGAATATGTCAATATATGCATTTTTCTTTCAGATTCTCAAAGGAATCAGTGACCAGAAAAAGAATGAAAACCACTACTTTAGAGGAACACAATGAATCCCAGGTAAAGAACTGACTAAGGCTAGCATTGACTAAACTAAAGAAAGAAATAGAAGGGGGCTAGTTAACTGTAGAAACAAAAGGAAAGAAGACATTCAGATGCAAACTTCAGCAGTATCCATTCAAGAGCCATACAGGGAGAGGATTCTGATGGCATGTTTACTTCTGAGAGCAAATGAATCAGGTCTGCTTGATTTTGTGTTTCAGATGGATAATGGCATCTGACTATCTACACATGCAAATATCTCGATTATTACCTGGCTGGCCAAATAGCTTACCAACAAGGAAAGAATATGCTGGTCAGAAAATATAAGGATCTGATCCCTCTAGCAGTTTTGTTTCTCCTTGTAAATTACTATATTGTCATGCCAGTTTTAAATCTCACATGCTTGGGACTCTACTGCTACAAGGCAAATCCAGTGAATATTCTGATAAATCAGGCTTCTGAACTTATGAGTCTGAGGGAAAGTGAAAAGGGAAGAGGAAAACATATTAGTGCATCTCTGAGAAGGAGCTCTGATCCTTGGGCTAAGTTCCTTGGGGCTAGTGGTGGTGGTGGTGGGAGATAAGAGGTTTGGGGAAGCGAAAACAGATGAGGTGTGCCTTACTTTTAGGGAGAAGCCAGAGAAGAGGAATTATCAAAGTTCCCAAGGATCAGTCTGGTGCAGCAGAAGGAACGAGTTATCTGTGCAGAGCTTCTGGTACCCACCAAGGCATGGGAGTGGTAAACTGATCCCTGTGCTACTGAGAGGGACATGGAAGTAGCTAAGAGAAAGTCAGCAGACCTGAGAAAGCTTCGTGGCCAGGATGATGACAATGCAGCAGTGACATGTGTTGATGGATGACAAGATACCAGATGGGACTATAAAAAAATACATGAGAATAAAGATGTTCCTAGATCATGCCTCTTCACTGCATTAGCTCAGACCCCTGCCAACACCCCCATCCTTCAGCCACTTAGACATAAGCCTACCAAAATGAGAGCTCAAATTAAAATCAAGTTCAGTTTAAAAAAATAAAGTTGTACTTTCTGAACACCTGAGTTTGTGGCTTGACATTTGAACAGGCTGGAAATTAATCACCATTGTCCCCAATATACCTGCAAGAGGAAGAAAGAAGAATAACAGAAGCAGTGTCCTAATGTCTCGTTGCCTAGGAAAACTGATGACATAGTCTCTGCATCACACCCAAGATATTACCCAAACTTCTCAGAGTTTTAGGTTTAGTCTAAAAATCCAAAATCATCATCATCTTCAAGTAGCTTTTTAAAACTTCCATAATACTAAATAAATCTTGATTTTTTTTTTCCTCCTTGTGTTATGTTATATACCACGGTTTACAGCTCAAACACATTTAAGCTTATTATAAGATTCTGAGAACTTACGGAATGTCCATTCTGAATGAGACTGCCAGACACTAAATAGGTGACATGCAGTTGGGCTCCTGAATTTTCCTTTCGCTTCCTTTCAACATAATCATACAGCATCCTGTTCCAAATAAAAGGCACAAGTAAGTCATCACTAAGAGTTTACCTCATCAACTCTTAATTTGTGACTTAAAAGTTAGATATATTAAATAGAACAGTCCAAATTTTCTACAGAATATTTTTGTTCAGTCTATGGATAGAGGGTTAAAAAAAGATGGATTTTAGATGGGACATAGGAGTCAACTTGTATTGAGCTGGCACAGTGACACTGAAATAAAAAAAATCTAATAACAGGTCAAGAGGAACTGAACCCGCATTAAAACAACGGCAATGACATATAATGGACAGAACAATGAATCAAGAATAAGTTCAGTCACTCTCTAGCTATGTGATCCTAGGTAAGTTAATTTTTCTAGGCCTCTTAATTTCCTGAGATTTAAAATGGGAGGGCTGTACTAGATCACTGATTCTCTTAATCTGGGATTCATGTGGCCATCTCCACCCCCAAAATTGCAAGCAAAATGTATGTATTTTTTTGTGGGGAGACAGTTCAGGGGTTTCAGTAGATTCTCAAAAGACTCGAAAACATGAAGAACTACTATGTAGATGATCACAAGTGTCCAGCTCTGAAATTCCAATTTTATGATCATTCAGATTCAACGCTGTTTCAGAAATGCAGAATGTAACAGCTTACTCACAATGCCCAATATTCAAAGCATTCACTAACCTGACATTGCCAAACACTCAATGTAAAAATAATGTTGCTTTTAGTAACATCCCTAAATTCATTTTTATCCTTTAGATCCAGCTAGTATCAGAACTTGGCTCCCCTTAATAACTTTACTGTTGAACAAAAACAACAAAAAAGACATATCATTTGTGTCTTTTATTTCAAGAAACATATACTAAGCCTATATAACATGTCATACTTTTCCCAAGAACAGCTAGAAACTCAAAAATTCCAAGGGAAACTCAACCTACACTGTTGACCACTCTCTTCTTGAGGCATGCACTCTCTTAGCTTCCGTGATCCCATGCCCCACTGGGTCTCCTGCTACCCCTCTAACTGCCTCTGCTCCACTTCCTGCACAGACTTGACTGCTTCTTCCTTTTCTGTACTGTTGGGGTTCTGTCTTCAGCTATCTTTTCACTCTATATATCAGAGTGACCAACCATCTGGTTTGCCTGCATGTGAGGGGTTTCCTGCGGCATGGACTTTAAGTGCTAAAACCGACGGTCCTGGGCACACCGGGATGGTTGGTCTATTTCATTCATCCCAGAGGCTTCATTTATTCTCGACAACAACATCATTTACTCAAACCACCCAAGCCAGAAATCTGGTAGTCATTATCTTTCACTTCTCCTTATCCAGTGAGTTGCCAAATCTCCTCAGTTCTCCCTCCCAAGTAATTCTTGACTCCTTGCCCTCCAAATCTCTTGACTGGACTATTTTAATTCCAAGTGTCAGTTGCCCCCACACCCACCCCCTTCCCAGTCATTATCCACAAGGCTTCCTCGTTGAAGTTTTAAAAATGCAAATCAAGTCATTCTGTCAACAAAACTTTGCTGAGTGGCTACTTCATGTGCTATGCTTTGGGGACAGGGCAGTGAGCAAAGTAGTCAGTTCCTACTCTTTTAGAGCTTATATTGTAGAAAAGACAGACAAACAATAAACAAACAAGTAAATATACGTCACATGGTAGTAAATCTGTAGGGAAAAAAAATAAAGGTAAGAAGAATAGAGAGCACCTAAGAAGAAGTTTTGCTATTTTATATAAGGTGATTAGGGAAGGCCTCATGAGCAGAGTCCTGCAGGAAGTCATGGAGCCACCAATGTGGATATCTTGGGGAAGAATGTTCCAGGCAGAGAGAACAGCAAATGCAAAGGTTCTGAGGCAGGAATGTAAGCAAGGTCCAAGGAATAGAAAAGGGGCAAGTGTGCTGAGTAAGGAAGAGTGGTAGGGGAGAGAGAGCCAAGCGCCAGACACATACAGCTTAGTGGCCCTGTGTACGGCTTTCAGCAAGGAAATCATTAGAAGGTTTAGAGCAGAAATAACATGATCTCACCTTTTACAAGGATTCCTGACTGCTGTGTGGAGAATGTACTGTTGAGGGGCAAGGGAGGAAGCAGGGAGACCAGTTGGGAGGCTACTGCAGTAATCCAGGCTAGAGAGGATGGTGACTGAGATTAGGGTGGTAGCAATGGAAATAGTAATTACTGGATGAATTCTGGGTAATTCAACAGGATTTGCTGATGGACTGATTGTGGGGTATGAGAAAAAGAGGAGCCAAGGATTACTGGACTAAACAACTCAAAGAATGAAGGTGTCATTCACTGAGATGGGGACAGGCAGGAGAGGCAGGTGTTGGGAGGAGAAATTGGGAGTTAGGTTTTGGGGCATGTTAAATCTGAGATGCCTATTAGTCATTAAGTAATGTTGAAAAGGTAGTTGAATATTCTTGTCTGAAGTATTATTCCTTGTTCAAAAGTATTCAACAGCTCCCCATCCCCTAAGGATCAACTCCCACTCCCTAGCAATGACATGTAAGACTCTTCTTGTTCTGGCCCCTGTATCTCTCCCCATTCTCCCATACTCACACAATTTTCAGCCTCATGAAACATTCTGCAATTCCTCTTGCTTCTTTGTATGCCCCTCCTTCTGCCTGGAATGCTCTTCTTAAACCTCATCCACCTAACTCCTCATCAAGCTAGCAGCTCATTTATCACCTCCTATGTGAAGCCTTCCGTAACAGCACCAGGAAAGCAGGGCACCCCTGCCTTCTAAGTTCTAACAGAACCTATCCTTTATCTGTTATTATAGCACTTACCACACTGTATTCTAACTAGTCAGTTTATATATCTGCCATCCCCACTAGACTATAAGCTCCTTGAGCCCTATTCAGAATTTCTGTTGATTTCTCCATCTTATTCTCTTTAGTGTTTCCTTCCATGCAGCAATTATGTTAGGAAAGATAAGGTAATACAGTTTCACGAATATCTCGGTTTACTTATGCTAGTTAGGACCATGCTAGTAGAAGAAATGATAGGCAGGTACCCTGCCCAAGATAGTCTCAAGCTCGCTGGCTAAATGCATTGTCTTTTATCCACAACTCATCATCTTGCCTGTATCACCACAGTCATTGTCCCTTATGCGCTTGTCTCCCCAAATCAACCCAGTTCTCTTTTACATTAACAAGAAGGTCAAAACTGCACAAAATTTTTTTTTTTCTTCTGGTGAGGAAGATTAACCCTTGAGCTAACATCTGTTGCCAATCCTCCTCTTTTTGCTGGGGAAGACTGGCCCTCAGCTAACATCCATGCCCATCTTCCTCTACTTTATATGTGGGACGCCTGCCACAGCATAGCTTGACAAGCGGTGCACAGGTTCCTGCCTGGGATCTGAACCTGCGAACCCCAGACCGCTGAAGCAGAGCGTGCAAACTCAACCACTATGCCACTGGGCCAGCCCCTGCACAAACTTTTTTACAAAAATAATTTCTGCATATCTGTTGAGTCTCTAGGACATGTTTACCTAATTTGATCATACCAAACATTTTATTTTTACCAACAAAATATGCAAAATATTCTTAAATATGAATGACAACACATGACTTCTTACAAGATGCACTTCTTACAAACGCAATTAACTATTCTTCTCATTTTAATTCATTATTTTTCCTCCTGATCAGTTCTACCCATAATTTTCCCCAGGATGAAAACAGAGTATAGTCTATACTGCCTTCCCTAACCTAGTTTAATTCCCTCGCAGCATTTTTACAACCTAAAATTACTTGTTTAAGTCAATGAAGGGAAAGACCTTGTCTGTCAGATTTGCTGTTCTATGACAGAGCCTAAAATAATGCTAAAAATATAGTAAGAACTGAAAAAATACTTCTTTAATGAATCCAAGCAAATCAGTAACAACCATGCCCAGTCACAGTGATATTTTAAATGCTTCCACTATAAGTAAAAAAAAAACAGTGATGGACGCTGTCTCAATTTTTTCATCTGTTAAAAGAAGTTGATAACATCCATCACATTGGATTGTTATAAAGATTATGTGAGACAAACGCTTGGGAAAGTATCTACTATAATGCTTAGTACTTCTTCAACAAATGTTTATTGGCACCTATTACAAGTAAGGTGCTGAAGATACAATTGTGGATACTGTATTTCACAAAGATGGCTGCAACAACACTTCCCATCTCACATGCTCTATGACATCTTCTCAGAGAGAAGTGGAGTGGGATTAAATTCGGGAGGGCTAGTGATTCACTTTAACCAAAAGAATGAAGCAGGCTTGACTTCTGAGGCTAGTCAGAAAAGGCAATCAGCTTCTGCCTTATGCTGGAGCACTAGCTTTTGGAGTCCCGAACTGCTGTGTTAAGAAGTCTGACTACCTAAAGAAGCCATGTTCTTAGGAAGCCCAGACCATATAAACAGAACATATGCAATAACTGGTCAATAGCCCCAGCTGAAGTCCCAGCTGATGGCCAGCATCAACTGCCAGACATGCGCATAAAGATGCCTACAGATGATCAGGCTCCAGCCACTGAGGCTTTCCAGCTGAGGTACCAGACATTATGGAGCAGAGATAAACCATTCTCACTGTGCCCTGCCCAAATTCCAAACCAAAAGAATCTATGAACATAATAAAATGTTTGTTTCAAGCTGCTAAATTTTGGGGTAATTTGTTACATAGCAATAGTAACCAGAACAGTGGTGAACTTGATAACTATGTTCCCTGACTTCATGGAGCTTATATTCTAGTGGGTGGGACAAACAATAAGCAAGAAAATGTCAGATAGTAGTAAGAATTATAAAGTGTTGGAACAACTGGATATCAACATACAAAAGAATGAAGTTGGACCCTTTCCTTACACTACATACAAAATGATTCCTGGAAGAAATAGTGACTATTTACCCATTTTAGTGCTTTATTTAAAATTGGCTTGAGCCAACACCTGATTTGAAAACTACAGTGTACTCTTATTGTGAGGACTGAAGCCATTTTTTTTTTCCTGAGGAAGATTCGCCCTGAGCTAACATCCACTGCCAGTCCTCCTCTCTTTTTGGCTTGAGGAAGATTAGCCCTGAGCTAACATCTGTGCCAATCCTCCTCTATTTTTTTTGTATGGGGGACACCTCCACAGCGTGGCTGGTGAGTGGAGTACGTCCGCGCCTCGGATGGAACCTGCAAATCCAGGCCACCAAAGCAGAGTGCATGGAACTTGAACCACTGGGCCACGGGGCTGGGCCCCTGAAGCATTTTTACTATCTTTGCAAGCAGGCAATACATAGAAGCCTTAAATATAGTGATAATTATTGACGTAAGAGCTAAAACCACAAAACTCTTAGAAGAAACACAGAAGTAAATCTTCACAACCTTGAGTTAGGCAGAGCCTTCATAGATAACTATATAAAACGCACAAGCAACAAAAGAAAAAAGAAAGAAATTGGCCTTCATCAACAATAAGAACATTCGCGCTTCAAAAGGTGAAGTGCAAGACAAGCAAGAGCAAAGACAACCTACAGAATGCGAGAAAATTTTTGCAAATCATGTATCTGATCAGGGTCTTGTACCCAGAATATATGAGAACACTTAACATCTCAACAATAAAAACACAACTCAATGAAAAAATGAGCAAAGGATCTGAAGTGAATCTTCTCCAAAGAAGATATACAAATGGCTAATAAGCACATGAAAAGATGATCAACATCATTAGTCATTACAGAAATGCAAATCAAAACCATAATATCACTTCACACCCACTAGAATGGCTAAAATAAAAGACAATAAAGAGTTGATAAGAACATAGAGAAATTGGAAACCTCATACCTTGCTAGTGGGATTGTAAAATAGTGTAGCCACTTTTGAAAAACAGCTGGTCAGTTCCTCAAAATGTTACATATGACCCAGAAATTCCAATCCTAGGTATATACCCAAGAGAATCGAAAACACACGTCCACACAAAAACTTGTACACAAACGTTCTTAGCAGCATTATTCATAATATCCAAAAGGTGGAAACAATCCAAATGTCCATCAATTGACGAAGGATAAACAAAATATGGTGTATCTATATGTTATGGGTTGAATTGTGTTCCCCCAAAAAGATAGGCTGAAGTTCTAACAGCCAGTACTTCAATGTGACCTTATTTGGAGTAGGATCATTGCAGATGTAATTAGCTAAGATGAGGTCATACCGGAGTAGGGTGGACTCCTAATCTAATCTGACCGGTATCCTTATGAAATGGCTATGTGAAGATATAGACACACAGGGAGAATATCATGTGACAACAAAGGCAGATACTGGGGTTATGCAGCTAAAAGCCATGGAACGCCAAAGACTGTCAGCAAAGATTGCTAGGAAGAAGCAAGGAAGGATTCTCCTCTACGAAGGTTTCAGAGGGAGTATGGCCTTGCTAACACCTTAATTTCAGAGTTCTAGCCTCCAGAACTGCGAGACAATAAATTTCTGTTGTTTTAAGCCACCGAGTTTGTAGTATTCTTTTATGGCAGCCCTAGAAGACTAATACACCATGTAATGAAATATTATTCAGCCCTAAAAAGGAGTGAAGGGCTACTGCTACATGCTATAACATGGACAAACCTTAAAAATATTATGCTAAGTGAAAGAAATCACACACACAAGATTACATATTGTATGATGCCATTTATACGAAATGTCCAGGATAGGCTAATCTACAGACAGAGTATATTAGTGGCTGCCTAATGCTGGAGGGAGGTGCGGGGGGTGGGACCGGAATAGGGGGAAAATGGTGAGTGACTGTTCATGGATACAGGGTTTCTTTTTGGGGTGATGAAAATGTTCTAAAATTAATTGCAGCGATGACTGCACAACTGTGAATATACTAAACACTACTGAATTGCACATTTTAAATGGGTGAATTGTATTGTATGTAAATTCTATCTCAATAAAGCTGTTTTTAAAAAAAAGAATTATGAAAGAAATTAACAGGAAGATATGACAGAGAGCTAGGGAGCGGTGGGGATACCTGAAATAGAGCATTAGGGAAGGGCTGTTACAAGAAATAATGTGTGAAATTGGAGCTGAAACCTAAAGGATGAGGACAGCTGGGAGAAGAGCATTCCAGCCAGAGGGAATGGTGCAAATGTCCCAGGGTGAGAACGGGCTTGGGATATATGAGGAACAGAAAGGCAAATATGGTTAGAGTATAAGTGAGGTAGAGAGTGGCATGGGATGAAGTTGGTAGATAAGCAGGGCTAAACAGTATGTTAATTCTATAAAAATTACAAGTAATAAGAGTAGCTACAGTAAAATTGCAGGCAAATTTATTTCATCTCCAGTCCTCAACATGCACTTTTAAACCCCAACAGGCTTATCTAATAGTTACCTTATTTTATATTTAAACGTTCATAACCGCAACAAATTATTACTCTTAACAGGTGTCCATTCTCAAAATTACCTGAACCTCTTGGGTTTGGGCCAGGACCGGTCTTAGCAACAGCAATCTCAGTCAAAATCAGTCCAAACCCATTCCTGGGCCAAGAGTTTCAGGTCTTGAAGGCATAAACATCACAGTCAAAATCAGACTCCTAAATCTGTCAAACAGCAATCCAAATAAAGCCAAATCTACCCATTTTAGAGATCCGGGATTTTCTAAGACTCATGGAATGTTCCTATAACTCAAGGAATAGGGAAAAATCAGACTACCTTCAGGAATAAAACAAACTAAATGAGTATTTCACGCAATATATGTGCCCTCAGCCTGTTCACCAATTCCTCCTCTTGGGACATAAACAACATCTGCATATTTGCAGGTCAAGAAATTTTGAAGTTAATTCCAAAGTTTGTTTCTCCCTTTTGGCCTCAAGTTGGACTATAAGTTTCAGCAAGGAAAAGTGATATGGCAAATTCAAGAAAGGTAATGCTCTATGCCATCCTAAACACTCGCTTTTCAGTTTCACTATTTAAGTGAACTTAAAAAAACTATTTAAGTTCTCCCGTCTCATACTGTTATACAGCTTGTGTAAAACACCTGTTGACCTCATTATGGAAGTATGTCAATAACACCCAGAGATGGGCCTAAGGAGCACGTGTGAAAACATAATGAAGATGTGAGATAACAGGCATATAAATCTGAGGTATAAACAGAACTGGCTAGTCTGTTTAATAAATTTGATATAACAAAGTGATATTAACCAGAGGGCAAGGTTACAAATAAACCCAGTAAATGTATCACCACACATTTGAGTAGAAGTCCGCTTATCTCCAAAATAATAAACAAAAGTAGTAAAAGGTAGTAAAAATAGCATGCTTTCCCATTTTTCCAGAAAAAAAATAATAATTCTAACCTAGAGGTCATCTGTAAAGCTAAAAAACAAAGCAAAACGAAAAACTCCAATGCGATTAAAATTAGTAATAAATTGGACTTACTGTTTGGCCTGGTTGACGTGAACCCCTAGTGTATAGCTCAGCCATTTGTATGTCACCTGCAAGAAGAAATTTTTTAAACGTTTTATCAGATGACTCCAGAGTGCAGGTCAGTCCCAGGGGGTCCTAAAGGGTCCTACTCTTAGATGATTACACTTTATAAATTACAATAGATGCCACCCCAGTTTGCCAAGAACGATCCATCTGGGCAGGCAGGATGGAGAGATTTCTCTTACAAATACTAAGAAGTTTGTTTCACAGACCAATTAATGCAAAAGAGTCTAAAAAGAAAGGTTGAATATACATAGAAAGAAAAGGGCTCTCATTTTTCTCACACTCCTTGTTTTACTAAGGCTCTTTTTTTCACATTCTGTCCTTTTTTGGGGCCACCACCAAAAATTATCTTCAAATTCACCCAGAAGCTAGATTTCTTTGAAGTGTATGACTTGGAAACTTCTAAGGAAAGTTGCAGCCATACAAACAAACATTAAAGGGCACCAGCGGTGCAGGGGCCAGAGAATGAATGAAGTGGATGAATACTGCATCAGAGGGTAGACTGGGAACTAAATGCATCAAGCCTTGATCTTCCTTCCATCCTTCCTTGAACTCTCCTGTCACTTGTCGCCTCCTTGCATGCCTATCACTCTCCTCTCAAAGTCTTCCAATTTTAAATGCTGTTTCCAATAATTAGAAGACTTACATAGGTTAGGCAAAGGCAGTATGATGTAGAAGAAAGCATTAGCAAGAGACAGACCTAGGTTGGAAAAATGCCTATCCCCTACTAATTCGTATAAATCCTTACTTTATTTGTATAAAGAAATTATTTGGCCCCTCTGCTTCAACTTCCTTTTCTAACTCTCGGTAGGTCACTGTAAAGATTAAATGCAATAATGTGGATCCAAAGCTGACAGCAGGCACTCAATTACCCACGGTTTGCAAAGTGCATTCACATCCATCATCTCACTTGAGCTTTACTCCAACCTGTGAGGCAGGTCAAGCCTGTGTCCATACCAAATTTACAGGAAGAGGAAACCGACTGTCAGAAGATTCAACAACTTGTCACTTAACCCAGTTAAGACATAATTTCCTCAACTGTAAACTTGGGACTTAAACGCCAACCACCTTATCAGATAGGTGTAGGGACACCCTAGAAATATTATCAACCAACGCCCCTCCCTCCGCGCCTGACCTCCACGGCCCCTGGGGCGTGGGCACGCCCACTCGAGGGACGCGGAGTTGCGCGCGCGCCAGAGGGCCTCTTCCGCGAGTCCTCGCTCGCCCTGAGGCACGAGGCGTGGACCCCCCTCTCACTTCGCCGGTCCCCACGAGGACACACGCCGAGGGGTCAAGACCCCCGCCGCCCTCGCTGGGCCCAGGACCCCCGTCGCACGCCCGCCTTCCCCAGTCCTAGCTCCTCACGATCTTGTTCTGGTCCGTGACGAACTCGTCTATATTTTCCAGATAAAGCTGGTCCGCCATGGTGCTGCGACGCCAATCCCTGCCGCCTCAGAGCTCCCCTTGCCGCCACAAGCGCAGCTCCCGCCGGCGGGAAACGTCTTTTCTCCCACCCAGGTCCCGGGTCGTTTCCCACGGCAACGGAGGCGACGCGCTACGGCGGCCGTCCGAGGGTCAAACTAGTCTCCGAGATGGCGCAGGCTGAAGTGGGCGGAGCTTGTAGGAGCGGGCGGAAGTGAGGAGCTGGGAGAGCGGGCGTGGACTAGACGGGCTGTCTGGGAATCCCTGGTTTCAAATCTCAGCTCTGCTAGTTAATGACTGACCCAGGGTAAAATACCTCACCTCGAGGAGCCACAGTCTCTCCACATGAAAGTTAATGAAATAATCCTTGCCCTTGCATCCCTTTATTCAACAAATATTTATCAAGTACCTATTCTATTTGAGGCACTTCTTTAGCACTGGGGACCCAGCAGTGAACAATAAAGACAGAAATAAACAAGTAATATTAGTAAAGTAATGTCAGCCGGGATAAGGTGCTTCTTGTTATAATCCCTCAGAATCGAACATTCGGGAAGGTTTTCCAGAGGGGATGGGAGAAGCAGAGTGTTTCAGATACAGGCAGGAGCGTTGCTGGTAAGAGAAAAAGGTTCACCATAGCTGGAATGTTGGGAGAAGAGGAGAAAGAGGAGGAATTAGATTTGGGAGAAGCCAAATCATGCTGCGCCTACAAGGCTCTGTGAAGGGGCACATGGACTTTATTCTCGGGAAAAGTTTTCAGGTTGGGGAATTTCAACTAAAATTTCTCCTAACATCCGCTAAAAAACAACCTTTATCATTGACTTCAGCATCAGCCAATGTAGTTCAATGTAGCAGCATTATGGATAATCCAGCAGTTATCTAGAGTTAGAGCCTGGATTTGAATCCTGGTTTTGATATTTGTTGTATGACCTTAAGTGAGTTATTTAACCACTGCAAGTCTGTTTCTCCATCTATAAGATGAAAGTAATAATAGTACCCACTTCGAACGTTTGTTGCTACATGCATTCATTCAAGACATACTTAGCAAAAGCCTACTAAGGGCCAGGCACTGTTCTGGGTGCTGGGGTGCTGGGGATACAGCTATGGTCAATAATACACAGAACCTGTTCACATATAGCTTACAGCCTTGTGAAGAGATTTAAGTGACGGATGGTAGTGGCTTAAAGTAGGATAGTAGTAGTGGAAATTGAGAGACCTGAGTGACTTGGGTCTTCTTTTTAGAGTCAGCAAAACCTGTTGATGAAGTAGATGAGAGGAGTATGGGAAAGACAGGAATCAAGGAAAATGCCTAGATTTGGAACCTAAATTGTTAGGTAAATGGTAAAGCATTTGACTACTGAGATGTAGAAGACTGAGAGAAAGAGAAGATGAGGAAATCAAAGAATTCTATTTGGCCAGAGTTATAAACAAGATAATATATGTAAAACCCTCACACTATGTCTGCACACAATAAAATCAATAACATTTGGCTATTACAGTACTATATACCAGGCACACTGTACCAGGTGCATTGAGAGTGAGATTTCATTTAATCCTGATAGCAACCCTGCAAATGCCTTGTGTTTGTCCAGATTTTATAGACTAAATTGCCTAGGCTTAAGAGAGGAGACATGGCTGGGTCTGGCTCCCTGGCCTGGTGGTTAAGTTCAGCACACTCCACTTTGGTGGCCCAGGTTCACAGGTTTGGATCCTGGGTGTGGACCTACACCACTCGTCAGCCATGCTGTGGCAATGTCCCACATACAGAATAGAGGAAAATTGACACAGATGTTAGCTCAGGGAGAATCTTTCTCAACAAAAAAAAAAAAAAAGAGAGGAGAGATGGATTTTCTAGGTCACAGGGTTAAGTGGTAGCATTGGGATTGGAACTAAAGTTTCTTGTCATTGCTCCACAGGAGTGGGAAATAAGTCAAGATAATTGACCAGAGAGGAGTCTGAATACTAACCCTATGCCAAAGGGAGAGATGATAATGCTGGCCCACCATGGTCCTAGATATGCCAATATTAAGAGAGTTGCATGACTTTTAGAAGCCAGATTAGTGGTTACCCTTTGGAGAGTAGGAAGTGGAAGGCTTCGGAGAAAAGGGTGATGTTCTGGTTCTGGATCTCGGCACTGGTCTCATGGGTATGTTGAGTTTGTGAAAATGATTTGAATTGTACACTTCTGATATGTATAGTTTTCTGTATGTATGTTCACGCCAATAAAGAGTTTAAGAAAAGTGATTATTTGAAGAGTCTTAAATACTGTCCCAAGTCTTGTCAAACCAGGAAAATAGAAAACAGGTACAGGTATTGGAAAGAATGGATTTAGTCTTAACCTTAGACAAAAGAAGAGAGATTCTGGGAAGAAGGGATAATGGGTAAAAATGGACCCCAAGCAAGATAGTAATGGGATTATCAAATAAGATAAATGACCAAAGGCATCTCCAAGTCTGAGGTGGAGTAATGGTACTAGAAAAGAATGACCACGGCCCAGGAGTGGGTAGGCTGGGAGTTGGGCTTGTACCTTAAGGGTAAGGTTGCCGGAGGGGGAAGGGAAGGGTTAGCTTTTCTGTTTCTGGCCGAGGCCTACCCAGCCTGAACATTCCCACCTCAGGGGAGCATAGCTGAATAGAAAGCATGTGGGCTTTGGAAATAAAATTTTTCTTTTAAAAAGCAAGCAAGCAAACAAACAAAAACCTGGGCTTGAATCCCAGCTCTACCACTCCCTAGCTGTGTGGCCTTAGGCAAATCATTTAACCTCTCTAGTCCTCAGTTTCATCTTTAAAGAAGGGATAATAATATGCAGTGGTGTACTGATAAATGTTTAACAACCAATTTACTGAATAAAAAAGCCCTCATTTGTAGTGGTTGCCAACTTCTGTGGTGTAAATATTCCCACCATAGCAGACTTCAAGCTACCAATATTGATGTCACGGATTGCAGAGTTAGGAAAAGATACACAATATCACACCATTATTTCCACCACTCAAGTACAGTAAACAAATAACCTCAAGAGCATAAATAGTAGTAAAATAATTAGGAAGTGATGAGATTTGAATCTTTATTGTCTTTGTTTTTAATATAATTTAATTATAAATTTATACAATTTAATTTTTAGTAATTGCCTTGTTTAACAACTGACTTGCAAACTTTCTGAAACTTCAACATTTGGCTCTCCTAAGCAAGCACAGACCAGCTCTAGAACACCAGTATAAATAATTTACCTTTCGTGATTAAGGGGATTGAAAGTAACATATTCTGTGGCTGGTAGATAGCTAAGCTTTTTATAAATGATAACTAGTATTTTATAACAAACACTTATATACCACTAACTATATGCCAGGCTCTGTTCCAAGTGCTTTACAAATATTAACCCATGTAATGTCCATAAGAACCCTAGAAAGTAAGGTGCGTTATTATCCCATTTTTCCACATAAGTAAACATTGGCACAGAGAGGTTAAGTAACTTGCCCAAGATCACAGAGTAAGGGGCAGAGCTAAAACTAAAACCCAGGCAGTCTGGCTCCAGCATCTATGATCGTAAACACTGTGTTTTGCTGTCTCGTTATTAGTTTACACCTGCATATAGGAAAGCCAATAATAAATACAGTGAACTCAAACACATTTATTGCAGAACTTTGGAGGAATCCCTGTGCGCATCAAAATGAGAATTGCGGAAGCCAAGAAACAAATGGTATATGTTGATTATCTACAGGTTGTGGGAACATAGAATCCAGGCAAACAAGTTAATCTGGGAAGTTTTCAAGGCAGTTGTTGGAAGGGCAGTTGTTGGAAAGGCAGGGGACAGAAAGTTAGATTAGGTTTAGAGAGTTGGAACTATAGCTAGCAAAAGCCAGTAAACAAGAATAGGGCTATGTCCAGGAAATTAGTGTTTTTTCTAGATGATGCCTGAAAGCTTAGTTCTAGGGTCAAAAGTAAACCACAGGGGCCAGCCTGATGGCATAGTGGTTGAGTTCGCACGCTCAGCTTTGGTGGCCCAGAGTTCTCGGGTTTGGATCCCGGGCACGGACCTACGCACTGCTTATCAAGCCATGCTGTGGTAGCATCCCACATATAAAGTAGAGAAAGATGGGCATGGATGTTAGCCCAGGGCCAATCTTTCTCAGCAAAAAGAGGATTGGCAACAGATGTTAGCTCAGTGGTAATCTTCTTCACCAAAAAACAAAAAACTAAACCAGAAAAGAGGACCTCTGTACTTTCACTTCCATAAATCATAGGTGTGAAAGTCTTTCAGCTCGTGTGCATTGCTAAGATGATAACTATTGTCTATTGAGCACCTACCATGTGTGGGTACCTTGCATAGAATGACTCATTTCATCCTCAAATAACCCTGTTATTCTATTCTATTCTATTACTCCTTCACCAAAAAGGACTCAAATTTGAAATCAATTTTATGTTATCAATAGGAAGAGTGAATAGGAAATGATTCGATATAGGTTCCAAGACAAGCTTTGCTTAAACTAATAACTAAGTAGGATTTTAGAACTGGCCTCCTTCTAACATAATAACAACCACATCAGCATCTAATAGGTTCTCAGTAAATGTTTATTGACTTAACTTCAATTACACTGAAGGCAAGATTTAAGGGGGAAAAACACTGGATTAAGAAACAAGGTGACCTGAGATAGTGTTCACTTTTTCTTATCATTCATTGAGTGTGTAAAGTGTATAAGCACCATACTAGACCCTTTACTTGAATATTCTCATTTAATCCTCAAAACAATTCTGTAAAATAAGTAAATATTATTATTTACCTACTGTTATCCCTGTTTTGCAGATGAAGAAGCTGGAGCTCGGAGAGGTTAAGTAACTAGCCCCAACCATATGGGTCATAAGTGGTGGAGACCTCTTTCTACCTAGCTGTGCCCAAAGCCCCTGCTCAGGCACTGTCAGTGTCTTTAGGAGATAGCATTTGGTTGATCTTTATTCTCTTCCTCATTTTATTTTTTCTTTACTCGTGTTTGAATTTACAAGAGTTTGTATCATTTTTATCATCAGAAAAAAATAACACATTTTCTCTTTTTTTTAAAAAAATAGAGCATTTTGCAATGTAAAATTAACTCATCTTCTTATTCCAGGCATCTGTAATGTTTTCCCTGTTTGAAATGTAAAAGGCAATCTCCAAAAAGGAATAGTATCACCATTCCGACCTACAC